AATGCGTAACTAAAAGTTTAACTATATTTGTTGTTTAAAGCAGTTAAACTTATTGAAATTTTGATTTGTACGTGTATTCCGATGACCACTTAGTTAATGTCAAATACTTTTAAATCCGAAGAATTCAGAACTGATTGCTGTCTAGATAATTAGACGACAAAAAATTTGGTGTATGTCTAGTAGTTGTAGGTTCACTGCTAATGCATAAAGCAACTTCATTTGTGTTTCGGCCGTCTTCTTTGAAACAATTCATATCACCTAAATATGTGTAATGTCACAGTAGGGGGCAAGGTAAGGTTACTGATCAGCAGACATTGGTGGTGACAAAGATAGTTTCAGTCTACCCACGATTGCAGGGCAGAAATATTTCTAAGGATCAGGCTTTTTATGGTTGTCGGTGAAGCAATCATTCAGCAATGTGCAGTTTGCTATTTCATCCCTGCTTTTTTAGACAATCGTTCTCAATTTCATGATGGATTCATCGAACTACCTAACATATGTCAATCATGGCTTCTGTTCAATGGTCGGAAAGTTGAGATATGATAAAGGGAAAATAAGAAACAATTAATGACAAAAACGAAAAAACTATGGGCATTTCTTAGCACCTAGTTTATAGCATTCTCGATTTTAACGAAAAAGCATTTCCTTTATGTATTTGCGCCACCTGCATTTTGTTCCAATTTACGACCCATCATTGCTCGTAACATGATTCATCTGAAGATTTTTAAATCATGGTTTTATGATGGTCGGAAATATTCAAATCGATTCGTTAATTATTACAGGAACAGTACAGTTTAAGGGAAGCAGAACTGGAAGAGCACAATTGAACATAAATTTAGAATTCCTGCACCGTCAACAAAGAGGGGTTCATCAGGTAGTAAAAATGCCACAACATATACAGCTTAAATGAGAGTCCCAATTTCTGTGATCGATGGCGCGTCATCTTCTTAGGTTCAGCCTGCGTCTGTTCAGCTGTGTATTGGATAAATATTCTGTATGATCTAGAATGTACTTATCTGTATTAGAATTAATAAACGAAATTGGAACAGACCCAACTGGTTCCTGGAATTGTATTTCATCAACAAGTCTGCTGTGTACATTCAAATCATAGATATCTAAAATTTGAACCATAGATTTTCCAAGATTCTTCATCACCATTCCCAGATGTCTGCAGCCTATCTCATTCAACCAGGTAGTAACTGTGTATGCATTGAAACGAGAGCTATTATCAGTTACCAATACCATAGGAACACCCAGAGTGGCTAAAAAATCTCTTTATCGCTTGGATTGTCAAGTCAGAACTTCATTAAGTTGTCAAAGAAAATTCAGGCCTCTCGGGAAATGAATGAGCCACAACACGTCCGTAGCATTTACCGAGAAATGGACCGTAATAGTTTATATGGATCCTCTGTTAAGCCTCAGAAGGAACTGTACATGAAGTTAACCTCAAAGGATGATTCTTAGACTCATGTTGAATATGTTTGGTACTCCTGTGTTGAACCGTGTAGTGATAGGCACCTAAATCAATACTCCACCTGTGAACTATAACAACTGTGAAACGTGCTAAGGATTTTTCAGTATTTCGAATAAAATTTATAGCTTCGTGATGTGTAACAATAGCCAGTTTCTTTCCGAATAAATATTTATAATCTTTAAACAGCCTAAATTACAGCTGATGTTTCTTGCTGAGTTTATGAATATTCGTCTTTATCAACAGCATTTTTGCACAAAACACAGATTGTTGGTTAACCTTCTTACTCCAAAATCGCAGCGATACCCTTGTGTTGTGCATCAGCGAAAAATACCGAATGCACACAAGGGGGTAAGTTCGAAGAACAACATAACTTCTAGGAGCCTTTAGTAGATGTTGTAAGCATGAATCCTGTTCCTCAACCCATCTATATGAGTTGAGTGTCCAAGTTTGAAATAAAGATATAGCATAGCAAAAAACATAAAAAGTGAAACAGGAATATTATTGAAATGCACCAACTAGTGAGCGTAGTTCTGTAAGATTGTTGAAGATAGAGCATCAGTTACTTCATATCTGGTTTAAAACCACTTTCGTCAACAAGTATTCAAGACATTCAAAACTAGACACACAAAATGAACATCTATTCGGTTTTACAGAGATATTCTTCTCAAATGAGCGGTGCAATAAGACAATAAGTGTCTAACGATGAGCTATGTTGCAATACAGTGAATGATAAGATCACCTTGGAAAATTTCAGTAGCCTCAAGATTACTGACTAAAATACTCATTAACGCTTGAAATGTGTCTATAGGACAACTTAGATCAGATGGAGTAAGGTCATATTAAGACAGACTAGACGAAGTTGTAATTGTTGTCAAAAGATGAAATTTATCTATAAGAATTTGCGGATATGTATCCTTCAAACCAATGCTCCAGAACAGTTGAGAATAGCCTCACCCTCCGCCGTCGTATATATTTGATTCAAGAAACGAGTTAAGTGCTAGTTTATAAACACCAGATCGATTTCCAAGAAAAATCAAATCGTCCTGTACTTGGAGGCTGTACTATCATATCACCGTTGCACTCAGCACCTGTAGCTATCGAACTGTTATCAATAACATCGAAACGTTTTTTAGAAGTTAATAGAAAGACTTTAATTTAGGCCTTCTCAAACCCAGCATAGATATTCCTGTTTGACTATCTAGTACCTAACGAGGCCTGTATAAAGAGCTATCATATCTCATTGGCAATGCACAGCATCTTCGCATGGGCGGTTTTTGTCCAGTAATTGTCAACACTGAGACTTCATTATGTCGTATTACAGAGTTAGAATCTAAAGATTTCAAGTACCTGAATGAAATAATAGACTCTATAATGCCTGTCAAAAGTGGACTTGTGAAATGAACCAAGGGAGACAGACTGTCACATTTGCATATGAAAATTACTTTTCCAAATCATGGATAAAGATAAACGATCATGCGAAATATCCAAATCAATAAAATCTGATCTACGATCAAGACCTAACTCCTACAACCTAGAATAAGATTTCAAGTGGATTAACGACAACTATATTCGTCTAATAAGGTCTAGGAGTTTAAAATTAATATTTCATGACGTAGTCCAGTATGTGACTCCGGTTGATTGTACGAGTGATGTCGAAATACAGATCCCGGCTATTTTTGTACATCACCACCGACTAATTTCACGTAACAGAATAACAGAATGTAATAAGATGAATACGAAAACGAATTTTAATACCTATATTTTGTACACTTGTTGGTCCAAGCGTACAGTCAGAACAAAACGCGAGAAGTGGAAGATGAGCAGAGAATGAGTATAAGCCAACCCAACTTGATCAAGCGGGACTCAAAATTTATAGTCTGACAAAAGTAAGCTACTGAATTGTGATAAGCAACGCATATACACGCTCACATACAAAAAGTAGGTTGATAAGTGGATAACCAACAAGGTTAAGATGAAACTCAAGGAGAAAGAATAAACTGGTACGTACATATGGTAGAATAACTCATAAGAGTCTGACATGGCACTTGACGCGTGCAATACTTTAATGCTTCGCACAAAAAGACATGTACATAAAGAAACTGGTTAAATAACACTTCCTCTTAAAAAATATTCTACACACCTTACTGAAGTTTCAAATTTATATGCTTTTAGTTTCATAGTTTAAAATATTGTGAATAATTAGTATATAAAACCATTTGACTTTTGATATATCATTGTAACCTAAAAACCATACCTAAAACTACAGCCTTACACCAAGACACAAGCCTAAAGAAACCAATCTACTTAAAAAGCTCATCATGAGGATGTTGGGATGCTTCACAAGCGTAACGCGGGACACTCGCAGTGAGCGCAACTTCGATGACATTAGTTACTTTAGTGTCGAATTCTGAGTCATAAACAGCGTCTTGTTCCGATGGATGTTGATTTGTACGCGTACTTTGGCCTCAGAGATGATTGTACTGCAAAGGACATTCAGAGAGCGTATAAGAAGAAGGCAAGGGAGGCACATCCTGATAAAAATCAAGACAATCCGTTGGCAAGTATGTAATCATACGTAGTAATTATTTCCTAAGAGGAATCATTTCAGCAACTGGCTATTTATTTCGAAATTCTTCACGATCCCGTTAAAAGGGTATGTTATGGTGATCTTATTCAAATTTTATTATTTTTAATCACATATCATTTCAGTTTTGGGCTTTTTCGGAAATCCAACCTTATAATAATGGATAGCATTTTTAAATGAACAATCATCATTATTTTCACTAAAACATATTTGGTGATATCATGAACACATCTTGTTTATTGCTAATGTGTGTGTTGATAAACTAGATAGATGGGCTTTCGTAACTAGGTCGTTCAAATTATTAAACTGGGAATTCTATGTTACCCTTCATGCAAAACAATATCCTTTAGGTTTTAGAACGTCATCATGGACTGGGGTTTATCTCAATATTCATTTTTTGTATAAGTTCTATATTACTGAGGTTTATGTATCAGATATTAAAATTTAGGCGTATAAGGTTCACTGTAATTTTGTTTTGTGCACCCGAAAGATAAAAGGGATGGAGTTATATCTCTAAAAACAAAATGCCAAAGGTATATCCCAGTTATGACTAAGTGCGTACTGCATACCATCTTTGATACATATAAATGTTCAGTTAATATGGGAAAACAGTTCGATGTAGGCTAAAAGAGTCAATATCACTGTAACCCGAAGTCTTTACCCAACGTTTGTGACTAAGCGCATGAGTGCTTATTTTTATAGTTTATCAAACCCGAAAGTATGAAAACTCGGTATTTAAATTTAAATTTCTGTGTTAATCTCAGTCAGAAATTTCGGTCGTGCTAACTATATTACTCGGCTGTTCAGACAGCATTTTATTATGTATTATTGAGTGTGAAGCTTAGTTTTCAGGATTTAGGTATTAGTTTAACGCATCACTTGAAAAAATATCATTTGGATATATGCTTGTATATTGGTTGTGTCAATATAGTGTCTGGAGTTGGGAACCTTTAGCATGTAGTCAAACTTAGGGGACTGCACCCGGATCATCGCTCTCTATTATTCATGGCAGTAAATTCTAGTGGGCCACAAAAGATGAGTAATATGCAGACTACAAGCGCTCCTATTTCATGAGATTAGTTCGTCTTGTTACACTTGTATTTTCTTGTCGAGAAAAAGCCTGTATATCAATTATAAATTCAGCTTTCGTCTTATCAGTAATGTTCTGGACAACATATTGCACTTCTTTGGGTAAGTATTCCTCATAAGGCAACAAGTTATATAGTATTTATCATGACTAGTCGTAAAAACGTGTTGAAAATTATGGTGCAGAAATCCTAATATCGATTTGGTTGTCCGCTTTAAAATTCAAAATAATGGCTTACTGTATTCCATTCAGGATCAAACTTAACGCCGCGTTTGTTTAAAGGATTTATGCACTTTGTCAATTTGTTTGCTTTTGTATGTAAATTCAATACATGTATCACGTTCCTGTTGACGATAATCATTTCCATTAATTCATAAGGCTTTTTAATAGGGTATTTCTATGTTTAATGTGATTTAGAAAGAATATGATCAGAAATGGAAAGCAAAAAGAGAGGCTATTAAAAGAATGGAATCTATGGACTCGTCACGAAGAAAGCTTAAAGAAGGTAGGTTATGAAGTCCTGTCCTCTTATTTTTATTGATATATTCGTGATGCGTGCCGCCTATCTAATTTTTTCTGAGTAGACTTATCTTGAAAAGTGTATATGAAGTAGTTACCAAAATGTTACTTTGCTAGTCATACAGCATGACAGATATTTCAAAGCGGTTGCAGCGAGACTATAATTTATGGACAAATCAATCAGATTTAGGATAATTGGTCTTGGGTTTCGACGTGAAATTCATTAATCCATTTGGCTAAATAACCTTTTAACATTTTAGCTGATGTCAGTTAGTGATGAGAACCCGGAATCTAATTCCAACCCTAGCAATTAACTGTAAATCATAATCTTTATTCTTCCCATATCTTTCTTTCTACGAACTAATTCTCCCTTCCTGTACTATGTTCTTATATGCAATCTTTTACATATTACCACCACTGATTTTACTACTATGAATCCGGTGTTCATCTTGTTGTACTAATGAGGTATGGCAACTTGGACCGATGCACATATGTACCTGATCCTACATTGTAGCTGACTGACTGATAACCCTCACTTAGTTCTAGTAAGTAGGTGGACACTCGAGGTCACTTTAGTGTTGCTCAGAGGTTGTCCTTAAATTATAGTCTCACCTCATTTGCTTTTTTACTTAAATGTATAAACAAGTATCCTCATATAATTCAGTTAGTAAAACACTATGAAAAATCTTTAACTTGAATGAGTTTATTTGTAATTGCCTAATCGTTCGTTGTTTACTCTTCTAATTCGTTGGTGGAAGATTTTTGAATTTTCTGTCAGTGCGAAATAGTTTTCCTCACTTTGTAGCAATCAATGGCCTTTAGAACTGTCATAACAAAGGGTGAGTCGAAAACTTCATTAGTGATTTCCTTGTAGTAAGACGCGTATATTACTTCAGGCTACTCATTTTGAGTTCCCATCATATAGTACACTTGTGTATGACCTCGTTGCTATCATATAATCAGAAGGAACGTTCAATCGGATTCAATAGATGTTTCGCATGTATTTCCCGAGTTAGCTGTGGAGTTCGTTTGATTCATGAAGTGACCAAACTGAGTCATGACTGCTATCACTGTTTTCAGTTAGTTGTTAACTGACTCAGGTTTGTGTTAGGATGTGGAATTCTACGTATTCATTAACTTTGTGTTAATTTTATCAACAGGCTTTTTTGTTGCTGCTGGTTCTTCTATTCTCAAGTTAACATCTAACAGAAAAACAAATCAATATAGAGAAAAAGTGATATCTATAGATTTTATTGCTCAAAGCAGTTTTGATATACTGATTCAGTCATTTTTGTATGCTGTGCTGAAAACTAAAGTTTGTTATTTCATACCTTACATAATTGTATTACAAAGTTGCTATATTTTAAAGTAATTCTTATGTATATGGAATTTCCACATTTATTCTGAACTAAGAGCTAGAAGCGAGAGAAGCGGCTGCCATGGCTTTGCGGAAGAAGCAGTTTGAAACTGTGGTTAAACAACAAGCAGCCGACCAGATTCGCAGGGATTGGGAACGCCATACTGAAGAAATGAAGTGGCAAGCTGAAAGGAAACGAAAATCTACAAATGAGGAGACTGACGATGTGAAGTTCAAATGTACTAAGTCTGATCAGGCTGTGGTGAGAGTAAGTTTTAACCCATTTCTTGAACGTAATCGATAGATATAATGCTAATATTAAACTATTAGATTTCGTCTTTATTCCCATGAACCTTCATTAACTAAAGATAATCTTCTTTCTGTTCCGTTTCTTTGATAGTCAAATCCTGGCACTTATACTTTAAAATCATGAATATGTGTACAACTCATCTCATGAAAAAATAAGAAAGTTATTTAGTAAGAATGATTTTTTGAGAGCTTTCAGCTTGAATAGAACAGTAACACGTTGTGCAGGAGATATCTTAGTAATATCCTGTTTAAACTGACGAGCAGTTTCACTTAAAACCGAACTGAACCTAATAATCTCATAATGAAAGTCTCAACCGTAGCTGCTACCTTGGCGCGGTGGTCGGGCTTGCCCATCGTGATGACCCAACCGAGCTATATTGGCTGGAACTTATGTTCCTGTAGGTTCTACCATCCCAGGCAGGTCGATTGGAGAACGCTAAGACTAAAAGCAGCAACTCAAGGTCTGAGGGCGAAGTCGTACTGCTGACTGTAGAGGGGTGTGATAGCAGTAAGGTGTTTCACTCGGACAACCAGCATCTGCAGCGATGCTGCTTTCTCACAAGGAAGGAAGGGATTGGAAATGATCGACCCTAAAAATGTCACACCTCACCTTACCTCACGGATTTCCGTCTCCGGCGGTAAGGCCCTTTGAAGAACGGAGCTAACACGTCAAAAACCTTCCACAAAAAGGCCGTGCGCGACCGGCATCAAGCAGTTGTCTCTTGGGCTCTGCGGTCACGCTCCCAGGTCGTCAAGACCAACACTAATCCAATTTCCTTTTCAGGTTCCTCAAGAAATACCCTCCCACGGTGTAGGCAGCCGTGAAGTAACACCAGACCTCATACCTGTAACAACACACGAGACCAAGTCGGTCACATTCAAATCCTTCCTACACCTCCTAATACCTCTCTTATCTCCCCGACTAACCCTCCCCACGTCTCTTTATCACCTCGCACCGCTAGGGCGAACGATTCGAGTACGTGGAACGCCATTCCTGGTCTCCTGAAACCACGTTCTAAACTACACGTAGGAGCTTTTAACGTCCAAACACTGTGCCAAATAGAACAGCAGGCTTCCTTAGCTAGGACATCAGAATCTCGGGCCATCGGAGTGTGCTGCGTCTCTGAGACGCGCATACAGGATCCGAGTAGCGTCATTCATTTGACCTCAGCATATCAAAATAAAGAACCAACTCGATTGACGCTTCGTGTATCTGGAAGCCCTGATTCTGATTCCCGTGGCCTCGCCGGCGTAGGCATAGCACTGAGTCCTATGCCAAAACTACCTCTCTTAGAGTGGATCCCAGTAGACAGTCGTTTGTGCGCTGTCCGACTAAACGGAACAGTAAGGATCCGGAAAGATAGGGACACTCGTTGCCTCTTCGTCGTCTCTGCCTATTCTCCCACAGACTGCAGCTCAGATGATGTAAAAGATGAGTTTTACAAAAAGCTTTCCGACCTTCTCCGAAAAGCTAGGCGCTCTGATGTAGTAATAGTGGCCGGTGACTTTAATGCTCAAGTAGGTAAACTAAGTGAGAGGGAAAGACACCTAAGTGGATCTTATGGTGTCGTGGCTCAAAGAACAGATAATGGCGACCGTCTGTTGCAGCTATGTTCAGATAACCGCCTGTTCCTTGCAAATACAAACTTTAAGCATAAGGAAAAACATCTTTTAACATGGCGACCCCCTAATTCGTCCCAACGTTGGACCCAAATAGTCACATCGCTATCAGCCACCGATGGAGGGGCTCGATAGAAGACTGTCGCCCATTCTGGAGCACATGCTTAGATTCAGATCATACTGTAGTACGAGCGCGTATTTGTCAGCATCTTACTGGACGTAGGAAAGACGCAGCAAGGAAACCTCTTAGGGTCCTACTTAATGATAGTCAAGCTAAGAGTATATTTCAGGCACAACTAGGAAAACAGTTAGACAGTCATGTATGTGATGCCCACCCCGAGGCAGCATGGAACGTTATCCGAAAAGCTGTGGAAACAGCAGTGATATCTGCTAGTAAGGTAAACCGTAAAGTTAAGGAGAAACACTGGATCTCAGCAGCATCTATCGCACTGATAGATGCTCGGAAACTCATTCCACCTGGCTCTGAACATAACGAAGAGCGGAGTCAGCTTAAGCGCAAGCTGACAAGAAGTCTACGCAATGATCGTGAACAGTGGTGGGTGGCGAAAGCAAGAGAGATGGAAAAGGCAGCGGCAATCGGTAATAGCAGACAATTGTTCAGACTTGTTAAGGAATCCGGAATTAGGAACCCGACCGTTTGCGAAACACTCTCAGAGAAAGACGGACATATTATTCATTCTCAATCCAGGAGATTGGATCGATGGGCAGAACACTTTAGGGATCAGTTCAACTGGCCTTCAGCCACACTTCGGTTTCCCACGATCTCCAGTCAACTTGAATGGCAAGTTAATGTAGGTCCTCCGTCCCTTTACGAAATTGAAAATGCCATAGGAAATCTGAAACGAGAAAGAGCAGCAGGCCCTGACAGGTTTACTCTTGAGATTTTTCAGGATGGTGGTCCAGTATTAGCAGTGAGATTGACTGAGGTCTTAGGTAGAATTTGGGAACTGGACGTAATCCCATCTGACTGGTTTCAATCACTGATTGTGTCAGTCTATCAGAAAGGACAAAAGTCCTCTTGTGACAATCATAGAGGAACCAGTTTGACTAATATAGTGTCTAAAATGTTAGCTTCAATAATACTTCGACGCCTAACCAAAGCTCGTGAAGAACAGACTAGAGAAAATCAGGCTGGTTTTCGACCTGGACGTGGTTGTATAGATCAGATATTCACACTATGTCAGGTTCTAGAACACAGACACACATTCAGACGCCCCACAATGGTAGTATTTCTCGACCTTAAGGCAGCATTCGACTCGGTTGATCGTAAGGTTCTATGGCAGTGTTTGTCACTGAAAGGTGTACCAAAGAAGTACATTAACCTTGTAAAGGCTCTCTACTCGAACACAACTGATAGAGTGAGAGCTTATGGCGAACTGTCATCAGAATTGATTGCCTCAAGTGGTGTTCGTCAGGGCTGTCCACTCTCCCCATTCTTGTTCAACTTTGTCGTTGACGAACTTTCAGAGATAACACTTTCCTCATCTAAATTTCCAGGGGTTGAACTTCTACCGGGAGACCCACTTGTTGACCTAAAATATGCCGATGATATAGTTTTATTTGGTGAAGACGCTGACAAAATGTAGAGTCTTCTGACCACTCTAAGCAACAATGCAAGCATGTTCGGCATGCGATTCTCTCCCTCGAAATGCAAAATTTTGCTTCAGGATTGGGTTGCATTGACACCTGAACTAGTGATAGGGAGTGAAGTAATTGAGTGTGTCGTCCGCTTCACTTATCTTGGAAGTCTCATCAGCCCTTGTGGTCTGGTGTGTGACGAAATCTCAGCACGGATACAGAAGGCTCAACTAGCTTTTGCCAACTTGCGTCATTTATGGCGTAGGTGAGATATCCGTCTATCAACCAAAGGACGTGTTTACTGCGCAGCAGTTCGTCCCGTCCTACTTAGGTGTCTTCGAAACATTGCTCGCATATCCTGGGACCATCGAGTAAGTAATGCAGTTGTTAGGAAACGGGTACTAGGTGAGGATGGCAAATCAATTGATGACAATGTTTTTATTTTAACCCAAATGAAACAAATACATTTTCAAGCCATGATGCTTGATATTGTTTTATTTCAAAATGGCTTTGCTGTGTTGAGTATTGAAGACAAATATTGTGACTTTGGAGGATTGTTAAAAACAAATAAATTATTCCTACTTTCAGAAGTTATGATTTATTTATTGATTACTAACGTTTGCCGAAAACCTCAGAATCCCAGCTATTAAACCCTGACCAGCGTAGTTCCTAAGCGACTGCAAAAAAACTGGTTATTTCAATACTTCTGAGTCCGTTCTAATTGTGAGCACAGGTGAAATAAGTGTCATGTCTTAATAAACCAGTGAAAAATGGATAATGTAAGCAATTATGAAAATACCAGTTACTACGTGGTGTGAGCTACTTATATTCACATAAGTAGTATGTTACGATAGTCAGGAATAGAATGTATTGCAGTAGAAGATCGAGGAAAAAAGAACGGGAGCGGAAAGAAATCGGTATAAAAATGCAGGAACAATAAAATCCAAGACGATGGACTGATATTTGCAAATGAAACAGTCAAGTTTGAGACAATTGATTGATATTTTGCAAACTAGGTATTTACTGTATAGTTCTCAGATTTTAGAAAGATGTTCTGTAATTTCGTGTTCTAATACATTTGATTGTCCCCACTTATTTTCTTGTTCACTACACTAGTACTGAGTAATACAGATATGCAAACATTGCATAACCGTTGCAGTACATACGTATGAAACTCTAATATACTTGTTAACGTTCGGTACGTTCAAAGTAGGGAGAAATTATAATTTACTGCCTTAAAAAAGACTTACGCATGTGAAAATGTCCTTACTTTTATGATCTTGTTCACTAGTTACTTTTATTGTTGTTTTAAATAGATAAAATGGGCTTACGGAGAAAACTTTCAGGCCAACGCTTGCTACACAGAATCGTTCCTAAGAACATGTTTATCAGAGGTATATTTAAAAAGTAATGAATATTGAAAAACCATCAGATGTCTATTTGAATCCGTAAACTTATTTCAGAGACTGGGAATTTCTAAAACAAAATTTAGAACTCAGCTCCCGAAGGTGTTTAATTGTGTTAATTTTGTCTTTTACCGTTGTTGTATGGGAACTTGCTATGCATATATGTGCTAGGTTCTACGTTGCTTATGTTTGACTGAACGGTAGTTCATTGAAAAAGGACATGTATTAGACAACTATATATGGTCGCTTTCCCCATCTATTCAATTATCATTCTTTCTGGGGACTATTAATGTAGTAGAGTCAGTCAGCTTCGTCATACATTTCCGTAATCAGAACCATCATCTTAACCGTTTCCCGCATATAAGGTTTAGCAGCAACGCAGTACATTACTTACATTGGACTTACCTATGCTACTCAATACTTGGTAGTGAATTAGGCCCATCTGTATATGTAGATATTTTGTAGTTAGACTCTACATATGATGAAATAGATCCAAAAACTTTGTTTAGCATTAATGAGTTTGTAGGTATCATTATCAAGGTTTGATTTGATAATTTCGAATAAATTGAGCATTGGGTAGATTGTTATAAATAAATAATATATTCGTAATATCCCAATGAGTAGAAAAACTAGATTTTCTGACGTTTCGTGATTTTGTGTAAGCCACTTCTTCAGAGAATAAATAATTAAATTTGGTTTACACTAAGTCACGAAACGTCAGAAAATCTAATTTTGCTACTTATTGGGATATTACTAATATATTAATTTATTTGTTCAGCATGTTAATTCGTATAAAATCTTTATTCATGAAAGTAAATAATATGCGTTACTTAATCGATATACTACTCGTTTCTTTGAATATTCTCTTCGAGATAATCACATATAACACTCCCGAAATTCATTCAATACCTTACGCGTGTAATCGAATAAAGAAGTTGTTTTCTGCCAAATTCTTGTTAGTTTGCTTAGCAGCAACCAAAGGCAAGTGCAAACAAACAAGGATTTTGCCATATAGTCATTCAAACCATTTCCATCTGTGCGTAAGACACATACGTGCTGTATTTGAGGCTGCATTTTCCTTGTTGAATCCAAACAATATTGTAACTGATCACTCAAACTTAGGACAGTTAAGCAAATTTGTCTAAATTATTGTACTCCAAATATCTTAGAAAGCCAAATTTTAATATAGCGAATATTTTCCTGTTTATCAATATACACATGTAGTATTTACTGCTGGACAATTAACTATATTGTACACTATTCAACTAGCACATTTTACCACAAGATGATTGAGTATCCAAACTGGTTATTAAGTTTAAGAGATAGATGAAATACCTGTTAGTTAACTATTTACTTAAGTAATTTTAATTGTTATTTGTAGTTCGGTGACGTGATAGCTTTCGTCATTGGTAAACGTGGCAGTGCCATTGCTGAGTTTTCCACCTATAATGAAGCAGTAAGTTGAGTTTTAACGAAGTTTATTCATATTTGTTATTACGCTAAAAGATGGGATTGTTGTGTTATGACTAAGTGACTCGATCACCCTGTTATACACTTAATAATTGGTTCCTGTGTTCAAAGACATTGTGCCTTGATCGACCCGATAATAAAGTACTACAATTACTTCGCCTGTAGCTCTTTTAGGGTTACTGCCGGTCTCAAGCCCGAATAAAAATGGAGGGTTGGTTATGGGGTTAGCAACCCCATCCAGTAGAAAACAATCTTGCTAAAATACTAACCTGAAAAAATAATTTAAACCATTTAGACTTTGTCCTCCGAGTCGAAGGATGTTCATTCAGAAAAACTATGGTCCCTAACAGTGAAAGCCGGGAATCCTCGACAGTCACGAAGACGATGCCCCTCCTAACAACCGCAGTGACAAATTATGTAAATACGTGGAAGGGAGCTGCACTGATGCTGTCCAAATAAGCACATAAAGCACTTATAGGATGGACATCTCATGCATTGAGGATCATCAAAGTACCCTTAACGACAAAGAAGGAGGAAATCACAATGAATGTTATCCAATGCTGTGCAATCACCAATGATAGCAACGAAGGTGATAAATGAGATGCTGAAATCAATCATATAGAAGTATCCTGATGGGAGACCTAAACGCCAAAGTCGGAATGGACAACACCGGATATGAAGATAACATGGGATGACATGAACTGGAAGAGACGAATGAGAATGGTGAGTAGTTGGCAAATTTACGTGCATTCAACGAAATGGCTATAGGTGGCACAATATTCCCCCACAAACACACACACAGAGCTACATGAGTTTTACCAGTCCATACTACAGAAAACCAGATCGACCACATTTACATGATTAAAAAATTCAAAAGATCCTTGAAGAACAAAAGAATAAAGAGAAGAGCTGACATAGTTTTAGATCATCACCTGGTTGTAGTCATGATAAAAACGAAGCTAAAAATGGACTGATCAACTCGAGGAAAAGCATTACATCCCATCTTCAAAATTCGTGTATGGAGGACAGCTAACAGACTCATTCCAAGTAAGGACCGAAGTCAGACAAGGCTGTTTACTCTCCCCTTTCTCTTCTGGTAGTTGACTGGATTATAGAGACTTTCACATCTGAGGGGAAGCACGGAATACGATGGACAGCTTGCATGCAATTAGACGATTTGGACTTCGAAGATGACCTGGCTCTTCTATCCCATACACAGCAACAAATGCAGGTGAAGACAGCCAGTGTAGCAGTAGCCTCTGCAACAGTAGGCTTCAACATACAGAAGGAAAAAAGCAAGATCCTCAAATACAACATGAAGAACACCAACCCAATCACATTTGATGGTAAAACTCTGGAAGAGGTGGGAACGTTCAGGTGCCTGGACAGCATCACAGATGAACAAGGAGGATATGATTCAGATGTAAAGAAGAGAGTCGAGATAGCAAGGGTCGCACTCCTACAGTTGAAGAATATATAGAACTAAAAACAATTGCCAACCAATATCGAGGTCAGAATTTCCAATACGGACGTCAGAACAGTTCCACTATACGGAGATGAAACTCGGAGAACTAATACGACCATAAACAAAAAAGTGCAAGTATTTATAGACAGTTGTTTACTCAAGATACTGAACGTCATTTATTCACGTAAGTTTATTTCACCAATGTAATGTAGGCTAAATCATTCCAATATCACTTACGATTTTAAATTTTGTTTTTCGTCATAGAAAAAAGCAATAAAGGCATCTGAACGTGGGGCAGTTGGTCTTCCAAGTTTACCCCTTCAATTATCATGGTTGTCAATAAGTAACACAAATGTGGTTAGTGATTCAAATAACGTCAAAGATAAACAAGTGGAAAAAGATAAATTCATATATGAACCAACTCCAAATAATAAGGTATGGTCGATTTCAATCACGCTTTATTTGTAGTAAGATTTCATGTTACACTTGTCTCTGTTATTCATATTCACAAAATGCATCAATATATTGAGCACATTAAGCATCCAGTCAATTATGCCGGTTTATACTAGTGTAGAAATGTTTTGTAATTAACAAGCAACAGAATAACAACCACATCGAAAGGCACAATAGTAAAGTAACTAGTAGTAATAGAAAACTATGCTTTGAATTGCGAATCAATAAAGAACAAAAATAAGAAGCATGTAGAATTCACATGTTGTAGGTTGTATGCGGAAATGGAATATTTCCATAGGAAATCTAACGACACTATTTTGAATAAATAGATTTCATTAAGTGACGTAAATAGATAATAACGTTCATAAGTTAAAATAGTATTTGTACGTATATTGAAATCGTTGCACGCATTTTGAGTAGTTTAATACAGTCGCCAGTCTAAAGTAAAACTTAAAGGTATCTTCTAGTATTATACGTAGATAAAGTGCAAAATATTTTAAACTGATGAGTTCTTCCAATGTATTCATTCAGTTATATGCTGATGAAATACAATCTAGTAAACGCATCGAATCATTGGTCGTCTTTTGAAGTATGCAATGTTAGGTTAATTGTATTGTCTGTTTGTTTACTTACTGACATCTAACCATAGCAAGTAAGCGACTCAAATAGAGGTAGTGTGTGTAAAAATCATTAATAGTATGGTAAAGGGTGTCGTGAGAGAATGCTAAAGAATTATGCTACGAGCTATTTAGCTGATCAGGGTTTCTATCCCTGTAGATTTAGTAGGTCTTTCTTCTCAATATCCGAAGACAGTCGTACAACTGTAAGTTCTTCAATTTATATTTCTGATGTTTAGTTGTTCTTTGCACAAATCAATGGAGTGTATTAAAATCCGACAGTTTGATGTATTCAGTTTCAAAGTGATCAATATTCTAGTCGTTGTGAATTAAAATATCACAATCCTGATTTTCACTAAATTTGTCAATCTGTTACGCCAGCAACGCAAATAAGTTACCATAAATGTCAGATTCTCTGGACATATATCTTTCTAAATGATTTTTGTTCTGTAATACCAGATAAATTTTCCCAGTGTAAATCTGTTACTGAGTAGGTAAGGTACTAGTTACTTGTTATAAAATTGCATCTAGCTTTCATGACCAATCATTAAAACATGTGCGACGAAGTCTGTTAAGATAAATGTAGAGCAACAGAAGGAAAAATATTTAGTCGTCACAAACGTTCTAGTTAAGTATTACAATCCGTCATGGTACTTTTCTGGAGGTCCTAGTGAGTTAACATTTGCGACAATTAGTGTTCACAGTCCAACACTGATAGTTTGTTCAGCATAAAAATTTCAATGATCCCGTTAGCTTACAAAAACTATTATTAAGGTACTTAAAAGTAATTTAGTTTTTGTTTCTTAAATGCAATATGAAGGTAGTTTTTCATGGGTAGAACAGTAAATTACAAGACATAATACTCATTTTCTAGAATTTGTCAATATATATCGTTAACTTTGAACCCCAGTTCAAATGCACTATGAAACATCCGTTTTCTTAGAATTACAAGCACACTCCGCTGCCGAGTATCAATTAGTACGACGCCTAGGTTTAGAGTTTCTTGCCAGCTAAATTAAAGCCATCTAATATTAAGACAGCTCATACAGCGTTTAGTTGCTAAGACTAGTGCCCAAATTAATATTCGATTGACAGAATACGATTATCACTACTCAGTGATCAGTTAATGTACGGTTGTTTGTAAAAAAAGACAAGTGCACTTACATAAGTTCCCATACTAACCTATATATCGTATATATTTTTTATCTATTTTAAGTCTAACTTTGAAACATTCGAACAAGACATCTTATCTCGTATGGCAAACTTTGGACAATAAAACTTGAAAAGACTATGTATAGGAAAAGAATCCGTCAGTAAGAATGTACAAAATGCTACTTTTTTTATTGTGAATATACATGAAACCAAATTCAATAATTTTTCCTGCTGTACATAGAAATCCACAATAAAAATGATTTGAATTTGCCGTTTTTTCTGAATATAATCAATTAGTCTGGTATGTGAGTCAACAGATGATCGCTTATGGACTGAAAAAATATAAAAAGTGTTTTCAATTATGAAAGATGCATACCACTGATAAGAATTACTCTTAAGTAGTAATCTTTAGTCTAATTTATACAAATAAATTGCAAATTCAGTTTGTTAGAGTGTATCATGTATCGATTATTTTATTCTAAAAATTCTTAAGTAATGAATAAATACAAAACAAGCTGTAGGGCATCCATTTTTACTACTTGAGTATAAGTAAATCTAGTAACACAAAACTGTGGTTATACCAAATTACAATGATACTCGTTTTTATCGGTTTCACAACACATCAAGCGATGAATACCAATAATAATAATTGCTGAAACAGTACAAATCGTTGGTTTTTTCAGCCTTGCTTTTGGCCTATCATCCTAAGAAAAACTAGATATAAGGGACGATGTAGTACGCCGAAATAGTTTCAAATAATCACTATGAAAAGTTTGAAGTCTACCTAGAAAATGTATTAGATGAATTTATTCATGAAGTGTCTCACTTTGTACCTAGTAGAAATCAAAATATAACATCTTCAATTAAAGTACCAGTGATTTCACAGTGATATAATTAGTGCTGTTAGAGGTATAATTAGTAGGAAACATTTTTCTTCGAATGAGAATAAGCTGTATTCCTTTAAGAGCTACATTCCATGAGGATAGCAACAGTCAATATATTTATCTGGGGATGAATAGACTGATGAAAACTGACAGCACTGTCGTTGTATCGAAACGACTATGATTCGAATTCGTAACTGTGTGACCGATTCATGGATTGAGGTTATAATTTATAAATGCAACTTGTATATTACAGTTTAACTTGCCTTCATAGTTTGTGTTTCAGTGAATCGAACCCTGCAACGACCCGAACTCCATCCACACATTACTGTTTTATTACTTTCAAATTTAAGGTGTTCCTTAAGCACATGATTAATAAGGTCACGACGATCCATGAAGCCGATACCACAGTTTTCTCCATATTTTCTTCCGTACTGGAAATAGTTTTAAAAAAGTAAACGTAAGAGTTTATGCTACATAAACGAAATTGGTCAGATTTCACAAATAAAATATTCAGAAAAGAAAAAATTCAAATGTATGAACAGAATTTCGGTGATATCAGCGAATAGAACGTATGAGCTTACTCAAAAATCCTGGTTAATGGGTTCGGATAATCTGGAAAGAACAACTCATTCACAACCTAGTCAAACAAAATCTTAACGCCGTAACTTTGTAAAAGTTGAAATAGTCAACTAATTTCTGAATAGATTCGAGAAGAACTTTTGGAAAGAATAAAACATTTGTGGGCTACTTTTCTAATAAACTTCAAATAACCACTAACCGCCATCAAAGGATAAAAAGCACAGTAGCCAAATTAGGAATTCCTACCTGGTGTTTGTATAGTATGATTTCATGATCAGACATGAGTAACTGTGGGATAGTTGAGCAATTTATCTCGACACAATTAGACCCAAATATAATTTGTTTATGGCTAAACCCAAAGCAATCTTATGCGTTTTAGTTAATGACTTTTTACTTCAGGTACCTACAGATCCCCACACTAAAGCTACATGGGTTCAAAAACAATTGATGTTTGTTACGTATCCACGACTCCAATACTTACGTTATTTCGCTATTCGTAATATGACAAACCCTGTTGTTTTCTTCATCCTATTTATCCTCAGATGTACTTACCCTATTTTCGCATAACTTGGCATATGTGTGATCAGAATATGTGCATGTATTGAGTGATCACATTTCTCAGATGAACTGGGCCTTTTCACAACATTATATAATTATAAAATTGTTGTGCCGGAAAAACAAAACGCTGATCACTTACACTCAGTTATAACAAATCACTTACTGAGCATAGTTTATGTCAAGTGAATGCAAGAATATCGTATATTATACAGAAGAAAATATCATACTGGAAAAACAATCAAATACTACACTGAATGATCCTCATGTTGAATCAAAACGGATGTAATATTGAATAAAACTCATAATGAGTAATTCAATCGAAAATTGACTTTTTTTCTATCATATCAAGCGATAATTAATCTACTGGGTATAACTTGGGTTCGAACAAAAATGTAGGATTATTTTAAATCATAGTATTTCCAGCCATAAACGCGCGGTTATTGATCTATTATCTAAATCACTTAGCCATTATAGGACTGTAAAATACCTATTTATTGCTGGTCAATCGTATACTATCCAGGACTTAGCAAAAATAATGCGTTTGACTAAGTAGTTATACTATATCGCCACATTAGGAAGCCATTATGGGGGCGAAAACAGCGATGAAATAATAATAATACTAGTAGCAATGAAAGCGAAATGTAAAAAGACATGAGAAGTAGGAAATAGTATTGAAACTAAGATCTAGAGGAAGTTAAATAATGTATTTCTGCGCGACTACAACTAACTTCAAAATAGATTGTTGAGTCACTATTGATAACGATTATACTACGGACTCGGAACAAGAAGCGTAAAACGCACGATAATTCTTATAACAACATTTGATCACTTTATGAATATCGCCATTCTTAAACTTTTTAAAATCTACCTCCGCAGTAGCATAGCGAACCGAATGCGTCTGTGAAGCATAAAAATTACTTATACAGCAATATCGTTGTTTAGTAAAATAATGAAGATATTTTGTCAAAACTCACCAAACAAACGTAATTTGAAGCTGGTTCATTGACTACGATAACAGTAACAGATCCATCTAAACTACCTGCGATTAGCTAAATACAGTAGAAAAAAAGTATGAGTAAAAGCAAGATGATGCTTACAACAAAGTGACATACCTCCTACATAAATAACTATTTGTTTTAACTAAAGAACACGACCATGTGTCACCATTACAATAAGTATTGATGACAAACATGTATATTCTAATGATTAAAAACTGGAGAGTAGGTAGATATCTGTTATCTTCCATACGGAGGTATGACACATCAGTAGGTTAAGATGACAAGTGTAGCATTTTAACAAGCGAATTACATGAACAATTTTTTTAACAAAATTGTTCGATTTTACAGATTTAGCCACCGATATATAACAATAATTTTATGTAAACCATTAACTACATCTGATTTGGAGTACACTCAAAGTTTGAAAGTTGCTAATAATAAGAGATTGCTAAAACCAAAGTAAGTTTGGGGGATCTTGAAGTCAGTGACTGAAAGTTAAGCGATTCAACCAATAAGCATTGCAATCAAAATAAAAAGCATGTAGATTTCTTACAATTAACTTACAGTGTCTCCCACAGATGCAAGTGAAGTAACTGCTCCTCGAGTAGATATGAAGTAGACTTTTACTGGTCGTGTAACAGGCAATCCATTTGACTATAAACGAAATTGAGAATACAAGAAAAAAGGCATAAAGTTAAAGGAATTACCAAATTGGCGGAAAATGTTTTTGCTTCATTTATAACCAATACATTTTGTGTATATTTCATCTTATTCCATCTACCAGTATTCCAAAAATACCACTTCACTTCTATCTGCTAACTTTTGATGATGTACAACCTTAGAATGGAATTTAAAGTTTGCATTGCACATCAGAATGGCTAACCTTTTCTGTGCTGTACCCATCAGAAACGAAGATGAATAGAGAAATCATGCGACCTATTCCTTATAAAAACAAAAACTAGACTCCACATTCTTAGTTAATAAAAATTAACGGAAATACACTTTCTAACACATAATGTTGAATATTAACAGCTGACCCGACCACATCCAGATATTTTTGTGGATAAAGTGTACTTTCAGCGTGTTCTGTGGGGTCGACTGAAAACAATAGTAAGGTTCATAGAGTGTATGAGAAGTACGTATGCTTTTCATATTGTTTCGAAATTTATTCTGCTTCTCGGTACCCCTAATTTTTGCTGTTGAATAGATTTCTGATTATAAAGAAGTAGAAATGGCTAGGTATATAAGCTTTGAAATATTAAATTAAAATAACACGCCAGTTATTAAAAAAATCAATCTTGGGTCTAGTTGAATGATTTTTCAAGACATAAAATATTGCTACTCAGAGAATGAATATACTAGTTCATGACCTTAATAAGTGGTGGCATCATATGGAAAGGTAGATCAAATATTTATACAACTGGTCACGTACAACTTATAGCGTACACCTCTGTCATACCATATTTGTAATTCATACTGAGCGAATGGTTAATAACATTTGATAAGTAAATCATAGGATAAAGACCGTGACGAAGTAACAGTGACTTCTATGAGATACAATATTGTGCATACGGTGAGTTACAAATATTATATTGATGCTATTAGTGGGTTCCAAGTGGCTGTCACTTCCGGCTGCCCACATCGTGGAAGAATATTTCTTCAGGTATCCAGGAAAGCAAGTAGATTAGTAATCGTAATGTCCTAAGAAGATGACCACAGAATTCAACGGACAACTGTTTGAGGATGGTCAAACACGGCCTTTACAAGGGAAGCTCTTGATAAGTTGGTTCCGTAATTCAGAACGCCTTGCATCAGCAAACAGGAATCCATGGGGTAATAAGAGGTGTGACATGTTTAGGATCGACCTTTTGCAATTCTTTTATTCCGTTGAGAGAAGGCGGTATCGCTGTAGATGCTGGTTGTCCGGAGGAAACACCTTACTGCCGTCGCACCCCTTTGCATTTAGAAGCAAGAGTTCGCCTTCATACTTTAGGTTGCTGCTTCTAATCTAACTGTTCTCCAATCCATCTTAGTATCATGTTAGGACCTAAAGGAAAATGCGTTCCAGACAATGTAGCTCGGTTGAATAAGCAAGCCTGATCACCAAGTTAAGGTAGCAGCTACAGTCAAGTGCATCCTGAGAAAATCCTCTGCATCGGTTTACGGACCCGAGCAGTACCTTAGCCCAAACAAACTAAATGACGGTCAGGACTGAAAATTAACGTCTCACAAATTATATTTACAATTATTTGATCACATTCGATTATATCTTACATATTATCACTTATCTTTTCCCTTTAATTACAATTTTCGGTATTCCTTTATTTTCAACTCATAAAGCAGGTAGATTATAGTTGAAATTCTGTCCTATCTAAACGTTTTCAAGTGACTGAATGATCGAAAGTTGAATGACACCGACCAATAGGAATTCTGAATCAGCCCTTTTGAAACCATAAATGACATTCAAACTGGCGTCCTTCAACGTCCGCACAATACTGCAGATCTGACAACAGACAGGGTTGGCTATATCTTTAAAAAGTCTTAATATCAGTGTCTGTTGTATATCAGAGACCAGTATTCAAGACTAGTGAAATGCTACAAATTCGCTCTCCATCTGTTACTTCGAAAAGCTTGTTTCACTTGCGTTTATCCGGGGATTTGTGGCGTCTTTGTCTAGCAACTAGCTTTCATACTCATTTAAGATGAATCTCAGAATTGCAAGGTTAAAATCTAACCTTTTAAAATTAGATTTATGGAAAGGTCGCCTTCTAAAAGACAACAAGACTTAGATCTTACGAATTCAAGAACTAAGATCGATTTCTTTAAAGGTGGAGCAAAAACGTCTTATTTCCAATCAATTAGAACCAGTTTGATTTTACATTAAATAAATTACCAGTTAACCTAGAGGCTCTTGATTAAAGTTGTGTGTAGATAATCAGAGCCCGGGAGATTATCAGAGTATAAGCTATTCACACCCTTTTAAGTCTCGACAGAAGCTTAATAACTTTTATAATATTGTATAAAAGATGTAACTGAATATTGAACGATTGCATAGTCAACTGATTTCAGATAAACTCCACCATAAAGTATCTTTATTACTTGATCAGCTACATTTTTATCGTTCATTATTTTTACAAAATACTGCTGAAATGCTATATAAATGTCCAAGCAATGTTCGTATGCTATAAATGTAATGATAACTAAAAGTAGTATTGATAGAAGTATTCAGTATCGCGATTAAAAAAATCGCAAAACAGAACAATGAATCATTTTACCGTAAACAAGAAGATGAATAACTAAACCCAATCTCGTAGATTATTAATATATTTGCAGTATTCCTAGTAAGAAATCGAAGTTCAGAAGTTTCACGATTTCGTGTAAGCTGATCCTACAGAGAATAAACAACCTTTCGAAATTAACAAGCTTAAACACTTTATAGGGACGAAAGAACTAATATTTAGTACGTACACACAATTTTCACTACAGTAATGTCATGTCATGACCTTAAGGGACTATTTCATATTTGGATAGAAAATTTGTTATTGATTCAGTCCAAGGTAGACAAATATTGACAAATTTTTATGTCCATACTAAACTTCATACTCATGTATACAAAATAGACAATGAATCTTTTCAAATATCTGTGAGAGGGAATTCATCTTTTGCGAGAACTAATTTGTATCAGAATAGTGATACATAAACACATATATATGTAAATAATCAGAGAATACTATAGAATTTTCTGACAATAATGAAAATATTACAATTGAACCATTCATCTTAAAGAACATAAGACTACTGTGAGCAACCAGACGAAGTACAGATCTTTTACATTACTTCAAAGAAATGTACTAAATATTGGACAATAAAACTCGATATGAAATAAACAAGATAACGCTTTACTCGACTCGATTCATGAGTGAAAATAAGTATTCTAATGCAATTGGAGATCATACCCCATCAACAACAATTTGTTTGTCTAACAGTATGTCATGTAGCAAAAGTGATGAGTTTTACCCCTATAGTTAAGGATACTTCTCAGTTAAAATGGAGTGTAAGATAGATGTAATGGATTTTCTAAAATTATTAATTAATACTTTACAAGTCACTCACTACAAAATTCAGTTACCTTTTGCCAGAGAAAATGTTCTGAAGTTTTTTCAAATTACACATGTTAATACTTCTTTGTCATGAGGTTTATTTCGAAATCCTCTATGGCCATTTACAATAATATTTATTAAATTACCACATTGTGAATTAGAACAACACATATAAGCGAACAATATTGTTTTCAATTAGATCCTCATCAAAATTTACTCTAATATACAATAATATTTTATGCATATACGAAATTATTAGACCAATCAAGGCAGTTTATGAGTCAATGATAACAGTGGAATAGACTACATAACGAAAAATAATAAGTCTCGTGTCTTACACATAGCAGAAGCTATAGGAATTCAAGCTAACAATCCAAGTCTTTGTATCGCGGAATTTGTAATGTTTTGTTAAACAGAAAAGAAAATGATACTATCAGTAGAAGTGTGTATAGGAAAAGTCCTTCAGCAGGCCAGTACATATATTATAACAGAAACCTAGTTAGACATCTTGCAAATGGAGCCAGGAAAATATGCCCAGATAAAACTACAAAGAATTAGAGCTTATTCATAACAGGTTGATTGAGATCGGTTATCCGCAAAGTTTCATGAGGAAACACTAGCATATAATGGACAGGAGAATAGAAACATCAACGGCCAGTAAGAAATCTCTTTTTCTGAGGCTGCAATTCAGTGGAGATATAGCTGATGATGTGCTATGAGATAGAAAGAGAAGAACAATGAAGAAAACGTTTGGCGCAACTAAATTCTATCGTTATCGACCCGACCCATAGTGATTCCTCAACTAAAGGATGTTATCTGGTTCCGCCACAATTATGTTTACCTATGATTTCAGCTGATTCTGTGGAGAAAGCTCAATCAGGCGCACAACCAGACAACTGAGTCAACGAGTTAGTGAACACCTTACTTCATGGTTAGGATAAAGTATCTCCGAAACAATACGCAGCTCTATTCCATCACACTTGATCGATAGCGGTCATGTAGTTGTAGTGTCGGTTGCTATGTTAGGTCGACATAGTTTGTCCTACCTTCCGGATAAGCCAATTTATTCATCTTTCTTCAGTAACATTTTGATCATGTTAACTATTAGATTATCAATCTTGACTGCTTTTATATCAGCGTGTGTGCACATCTTATCTTACTCCTCACATGTCTGTAGCTTATGTTTGTCTGACTTTAAATATTGATTAACGCTTGATTAAATCTAGTTGGCTCACACACATTCACTGCGCGTCATTTCGCTTCGTTATCTTCTATTTGTTTCGTTCCTCTGATTGTCTGTCCAGATCAATGAGGGTACAAAATATATGTATTTAAAAATCCATTCTCGTATCTGACTTATAAAATTCCGTTATTCACTAACGCCATTTAAGTCGATAATTTTATACGACGATTGATGATATGTATGTTTCAATAACAATCAACATATGATATAAATGGAGTCAGATCTTGGGCCACTAAATATAGACAGAAATAGGTCATTTACAGTGATTTATCGTATTCCTATTAGTTTTCCATATAGGGTTTGATCTCAACTCTCACACAGCAAAAGCAATAGGAATTCGAGCTAGCAATACAAGTCTTTGTACTTATGAGAAATTTGTAACATCTTAATCTCTTCCCTATTTGAATTAGCCTTAATCAAAGATTTCATTGATTATTATTTTTCATACTATTTGTTCGTTAATTTTCCTTCATCCCCACTTTATTCCTTTTTTAAAAAACATGCTTCATTGTCTAATCATTTGAACACTTCGTATTACGTAATCTTACTTTTTATAAATGTTATTTTAGTCTAAAGTTTTCAAGTTATTGACTAATTTCTCCTTATGAGACATGGTTTCAAACCTTTGTTATTCTTATCACAACTAGTACACATGTCATCACACTTGTACTTATCATGTTTAGTTATGTAATTTATCACTACCTATCTATCTATAATTGACTAAAAAAGTGTCTTGATTGGTCTAGTAATTTTGTATATGCATATAAATATTACCGTATATTGGAGTGAAATTTGATTAGGATCTAAATGAAAACAATATTGTTCGCTTATGTGTGTTGTTCTAATTTTAAAAAATGAACACAGTGAAAATAGTTGACTAGAAAAAGTAATCCGCACTTAATACTACATGACTAAGGAAGTCAAGGTTAACTAGTCAAAAAGTTTATTTAATTTTCAAAGTTTGGTGTTGATAGAACAAATAGGAAATACTATTATTTGAGAAGATTTAGTGGCAGGATGAATATATTAAATAAAATGCATTATTAAACTAAATCCATTTTCATCAAATATTTCAACGTACTTGAAATCTGTAAACACGAACTGCGCCTTCTGAATCACCTACAGCAATATAGCGTTGCATTACACAAGAACTAGATATTTTATGAACATGGAAAGTTAATTCGGAAGATCCAGTCTTAACAAATAAAAGAAAAAGAGAGAACAATAAAATAAAAATGGGACAATTCTTGACATTATATATGATTCAACGAACAGGTAGCAATGAAAAACGAAAATTAAATAATAATTTCAGCATAATTTATTAACCAGGTACAAGTTTGTGCATTGAACTATCAGCCATACTTTTAATGGTATAATTATTGACAACATCTCATGTCCGGTTCAAAGTAAGTAGAACCGAATTTGAGCCAAATCAGAGTACCTGAAAGTCGACTCCTTTATCTACTAAAACACAGGTTTATTGATTGATGAAACTAAAACTTATATTACGATACTCTGAAATGTATCCCATAAATGAATAGCAAGTTTTGTAATACTAACATTTAGCAATCGTTAACTCATAGTTTTCGTGGTAATGCCCTAACGCCGACAAGAATGCACATAATACTTCAGTATTTTCAAGGCCATTCATAAACCCTATTTGACAATGAGGAAAACTGAGAAGTTTGCGTCATCTAGAAACTTCAAGAGACACTGAAAACTGATCTCATCTTAAAATGTCCTGTAATTGATACTTGAAATAGGCTAAATAGCTCACTTGTGTATACCTGGCAAATTTCATCATTCACCAGAGTTGATCTAAAAAGTATCAATAAATGATCAAATGCTTTTATTTACCGCAAAACTAGGTATCAACATTCTCATGTTACCACCCAAGATGTTCAGAAGTTCCTGTATTTAACCAAGGTTTTCATCTACTACAACAATATAATCTCTATATCCTATTGGATTAAATTATCTAAATCTGATAACAATTTTAGAAAAGTTGAATAATTGGAGCTTCTTTTGTAGATATGATACCTATGACAGAGTTGAATAGAAATATTCTAGTAAACAGTCTTCAGAAAGTGTGGCTTAATTGTTTGACGTTTTTGCCGTGGCAAGAAAATAACAAAAACACCAGCAAGAGACAAAATTATTATCACTTTCCGGTTAATAAGTATAGAACAAGATTAGGTTATTAAGTTATATCAAATGAGGTCACTGGAATATATTCTTACGAGATACTCAATTTTGATTGCAGGTCATGTGAAAAGCTGAATAAAGTCTCACAGTTACAAACTCAGTAGTCTTCGACTTTGTTAGCGGGACATAAGAGAGAATTATAACAGACTCACTTCACTTGTTATAGAAATAATGTTCCAGTCACTGAGGAACTGCGAGTTTAGTAGAGTAACACAAACAACATATTACTACGTGTAGTAAAATTGTTCATTTTTGTTAAACATGCAATTTCTTTGATTAATTTATTGATGTTCCGTCGGGTGAAAATTTTAGCAAACATAATCTTACTGCATCAACTTCTAAAATTACCTTCCAATTATAAATGCGAATGGAACGATCAGAATAGGATGAGAAAAATGAGCCTTTGGGTAAACATGATATATCTTGTGGCGGTCCCTTTTGGACAGAACTTTGGATGCAACACACTAATGTACCATCGCTGGCTGAGCGGATAGAAATAGATCGGTCCTAAAATTTGGAATAAAAAAGATAGATAGGATAAGATTAGTTATCTAAAAGGCTACTATTACTATGTAGAGTGACACATTTGAAATTAACTCCCATAATTTGTTTGGGTATACAGAAGTTGGGAAAAAATCACAAGCTACATAGTGTTACGGTAGTAATAAGAATGATAACTTATGATTCTAGTGATTCCAGACGTAAGAAGTTCTTACCTCCAAAAATAAAATACACAATCCCACCAAGCCGTTCATTCAAATTAATATTCATTTAACTTACACAGAAGAAATGAAATGAATAATTACAGAGGATTTAGTCAAATTTGTAAAAGAAAACTTACTAAACCAGCAACAATTAATAGTAAAGAGGTTCCTGATTGAACAAGACACAGTGAAGTGATACCAGCCGATTCATTTGAGTCCGAAGTTTGTGCTTGCTGTTTTAAGCAATTTTTCGTTTTATCACTTGCAAAATCAGATTGGTAGCAATCAGTTGTGTGTCGGCATAGAAAACCGATCGCATGCGTCCCAGGATTATAACGCAATATGTCACCATTAAAGAGGCCCAAAAATATAAATGGAATTTCAGGTGATGGGGCAACTGCTAGTGCCGCGATACGACTAGAAAAAGTATTTTTATGTACCAGCAAACTGGTCTATAGAAAAATAAAGAACAAAATGAAATAGGTAAGGATTATGTGATATCTTCAGTGTCAGTAGCTCATAACTATGAGAAGCATAGAATCGACTTTCGTCACTTTGTCTCGGGGTGCTGATATGGTAAAAATGATTCAATTTTATCGCCAGCTTTGGGATGACTATGACCGACTGAATTGTGTTACAGGTTATCAATAGCAGAGTATAAAATATTGTACAATCTTGACAAAAGTGAAAAACGTCAGTTTATTTTTAATTCGACAAAATGCCATTTGGTTGTTGAACATAACAATTCAGCATCTCTCTCGCAAACTAAATAAAGCATTGTTAATGGTCCATTCAAAGGTCAAATAAGGCATTATTTTAAAAGATGTTCTAGTTAATATATGATTTCATGTTATTACAGAAGTCACAGAAATCAAATGTTACTTCCTCTCAAAATACAAGTACGGACAGAGAAATGTTGTTTATATCCCGGCGAAAAAAAGTAAATGAATATTCTCGAAGTACTTCTCAAGATATAATTGTAACCAGATGTCAGACTAGAATGAAAAACATATACAGTTCAATAAAACAACAACATAGAAAAATGAAGACTGTATATTTTAATCATATTTTCCATAGCAAAGGTAGAGAGCTAAATAATCATGATAATTTGTGTCTATCTTACAAGAAAAACAGAAAACAAGAAAACCAACATAAAGAATTCTTCATGGAGAAATAAATAAAAACGACTAACCTGTAAGTTGTATTCACCAAAATAATGGTCATAATAGCCAACATAAATGGATTCACCATTAGGATCTAAGCACAATTTCGTAATGCTAGCATCTCTAGGTGGGAGTTTAGATATACAGTGGTGAGTCTGTAAAGTAAGAAATTAAAATATTAACTTTATAAAAGTGATATAACATTAGTACAGTCAAAGTCTTAGAAATTTAATTAGGTTGAAAAAAAACTGAAATTTGTGTTGAGGCATAAACAGTAATGATAGTTTAACGGGAATATTTAAGTTAGTTGAAGAGCTGATAACATTGAGTCGATAGACTGACTCAATGCATTCCATAATATTAGTCAATAAAGTGGAAAACTGGAACTCTTACATTAAAAACTGATCTAATTAGTAATTTCTTATTTTATTGGAAAGAAATACAAAAATCAAAAGAGGAAGTGATGTGATGCATGCGTTATGTATCATGTGCCAAAATAAGAGATAAGAATAATAAATTAAAGTGTCGCCTTCAATATCTATAATAAGTGACATTAATGTTATTACTGAAGGAATATCTATTTTATTGATGTTTATTCACTACTAAAGTCCACCAGGTAGTATTTCAAAACTTTGAGTTAGTTTATTTATTTTGGCACATAAACATTGGTACAAGGGGATGCTAAATACATATGTGCCACACAACAACAATCAGGTTGTGAAGAGATAGAGAATGTAAAGTGCGCATAGGAAAAAGAACAACAACAACGAATGGGAATTAGTGTATGAGGTGGAAATCATAATAACGGGAGAGGCAGTCCAGTTAGCAAAAGTACAACCAGAAAGAATTCTTCCAGTCGAAGTCACGTTCATTTTGTATGAAGTAACAAGAAGTTACAGCAGGATCGCCACTGGCTTCTATTCTGATCCATGTCTGATAACGTCTTAAGTCACTGTGCCGCACCATCTCTAGGAACCCCAAACAGGGAGTCATGAAGGACCAGCAGAAGCCAGTCCTATACAGCTTTCTTTTATACCATGTCATCCAATGACCACCCCGCTTATTCCAACAGGTTTCAGAGTCGGCAAATAATGCACGACGTGGAATTTGCTGGGACGACATTCATAGGACACGCCCGAGCCGTCGATGTCGTTGTTTCAAGAAGGTGACACCAATTGAATTACTGTCGCTGTCCCGGACTGGCGTTGCCGAACCTATGCATTAACATGGTGTTGCCACTGAACAATGAACAAGCACAGATGGTCATCTAACATCCTCAACTCGAAAAGACCAGGTTTCACAAGCACATAGCAAAACTGCTCTCACTGACGCGTTGTAGATCCCATCTTGTACAGTCCGACGAACATCAGAAAAGCGCCAAATATGGCCCAGAGTGGCATAAACCGATCTGGCTTTCACTACCAAGCTACTCAGAAACACGAATTTCTCGACTACTTCTATCTGCTAACTACGCAGGGTGAGTGCAGGATCAGGGTCCTGCCAGTTTTGTAAAAGTGCTTTGCACTTAGAAGCTGCAAAGCACTTACGGTACCTACGGGCATTAATTGCAGACTGAATAAGTGCGGATTTCCTGACTTATATATCGTAGCACAGAAAGACAATATTACCCGCATACTCAGGGTCAAGAAGTCTTTCCCCAGGCAACAGATCAATATCATCACTACCTACATCCATCAGAGCTGTTTTCATAACGTCATCGATAGTGAAGTTGAAGAGGGATTGTGAGATTGTGCAATCCTGCTTAACCACATTGCTTGAATGCAACATTGGGGAGAGGGAGTTGTATGGTTTCACTCTACCTGAAGTGTTTGTATATCGGGTTTTTAAGATGCTAGGAAACTTTTCAGGCACACCGTTCTTCAATAGACCATCCTAGAGAACAGTTCTGTCCAATGAATTGAAGGCGATCATAATGTAGAGAAAAATTACAATTGTTGGGTTGTGATAAGTATGACGGTTTTCTAACACTTGGCGGAGAGTGAAGATATGATCAATACATTTTTGATCAGAACGAAAACCAGTCCGCTCCTTGCAAGCCAATATTTTTCGGATTTTGAACAATCTACGAAGAATGACGAAAGCCAATATTTTGGACGTGATCAGAAGAAGACTTATCCCCCGATAGTTGTTGTAGAAACGACGTGAACCCTTCGTAAATATAAGGACGACTATTGACTCATTCCACAATTTTGGAACACTATCTAATAGCCAGACCTTTGTAAACAATTCAGTCAGTTCCTTAACCAGAAAGTCGCCACCACCTTTAAAAAAGATCGGACGTAGATCATCTGGGCCTGGTGATTTGTGAGACATCATGAGTCGGAGTTCCTTGAAGACTTCCGCGTCAGTGACTCAGATGAGTTACTAGATGCAGCTGCTGCTTCCAAGTCGTTGACACGCTCCGACTGTGGTGCGTGCTACTTATATTGATATAAGTAGTATATAATGCGAGTTAAAGAACGTAATGTCTGGCAGCAGAAGATGGGGAAAGACCAAGAAAGGAAGAACGAGAACACAATGGAATTTGTAAGAAACCGTATGAACAATGAAATGTGAGACAATGGATTGATGTCTGCAACGGCAACAGTCCGGTTTGATATGATGGAATGATATTTTGCAAATTAACGATTTACTATTTGGTTTTTCTATTTTAAGCATAAGGAGAGACATCGGCTAGTATGAAGACCTCCTACACCAAACCAACGATGGACTCAAATAGACCATATTGCCATCAATCATCGTTGGAGAGGGTCGGTACAAGATTGTCGCTCATTCTGAAGTAACTGCTTGGACTCTGACAAGCCCTAATGCTTGCATGCATCTGCTTGCGCCTCACTGGACGCAAAAAAGCCACAGTAAAAAGACTCGTTAGAACTGAATTGAGTAGCGAGAAAACTAAAAGTAGGTTCCAGTAACAACTGAGGTCACACTTAGGTAGTTCTGAAAACGAGACTGACCCAGATGTTGCTTGGAAAGCTATGCAAACAGCTGTGGAAACAACTGACATTTATCAGTGATTTAAACCACAGGGTTACAAAGAAACAATGGATTTCCTCTAGGTCTACTGCACTGATGGATCCTCGTAAACTCATCCCATCAGGCTCTGAACACGATGAAGAGCGACAACAAATTAGATCTAGGTTAAGAAAAAGTCTAAGAAACGACCGTGAGCAGTGGTGGGCAACGAAAGCAAAAGAGATGGAAAAGGCAGCGACTATAGGGAACACAAGACAGCTTTACAGACTAATAAAAGAAGCTGGGATTAATAAGTCAAGTGTAAGTCAGACTATTTCGGAAAAAGACGACACCCTCATCTGCTCTCAGTCCAGACGTTTAGAACGATGGGCAGAACATTTCAGAGAACAGTTCAACTGGCCTTCAGCTACTCTACAACTACCCTCCATTCCCAGACAGTGTGAATGGAACATTGAAGTAGGTCCCCCAACTCTAGCAGAAGTTCAAAAGGCTATAGTTAATCTGAAACGAGGAAGGGCAGCCGGTCCAGATAGATTGGCTCCAGAAGTCTTTAAGGATGGTGGTCCAATTTTAGCGATTAGGTTGACTAATATTTTAGCTAGGATCTGGGAGTTAGACGTTATTCCAACTCACTGGTTACAATCACTTATCGGCCCGATATATAAGAGAGGGTTAAAATCATCCTGTGACAACCATAGAGGGATTAGTTTAACTAATGCAGTATCTAAAATACTAGCCTTGATATTTATCGGACTCCTAACTAAGACTCATGAACTGCAAACACGAGAGAATCAAGCTGGCTTCAGACCTGGTCGTGGCTGCATCGATCACATATTCACCATTCGTCAGGTTCCAGAACATAGGCATACTTATCGGCGTCTGACAATGGTGGTCTTTCTTGACTGAAAAGCAGCATTTGGCTCTGTAGACCGCGAGATTCTGTGGCAGTGTTTGTCATTGAAAGGTGTACCTCAAAAGTACATAAACATTGTGAAGGCTCTTTACTCGAACACTACTAGTGAAGTGAGAGCTTATGGTGAACTGTCATCCGATTTCACAATTTCAAGTGGTGTCCATCAAGGCTGTCCACTTTCTCCTTTTTTTAACTCCATCATAGACCTACTGATGGAAATAACTTTCTCGTCGACTGAATTTTCGGGCATTGATCTCCTACTAGGAGGTACAGTTATTGACTTAGAATACGCAGATGACACTGTCCTCTTTGTTGAAGACGCTAAAAAATACAGTGTTTTGGTAGCACTAAGCAACAATATCAGAATGTTTGGAATGCACTTCTCTTCCTCTAAATGCAAGTTGTTGCTTCAGGACTGGTCAGCGTCAACCCTTGAACTACAGATAGCGAGTGAAGTAATCGAACGCGAGGACAGCTTCATTTATCTTGGAAGTCTGATCAGCCCTAATGGGTTGGTGTCTGACGAAATCTCAGCACGGATTCGAAAAGCTCGTTTGGCTTTTGCCAACTTACGTCACCAATGGCGAAGGCGAGATATCCGTCTATCAATAAAAGGACGAGTATACTGCACGGCAGTCCGTTCTGTTTTAATTTACGGCAGCGAAACATGGTCATTAAGAGTAGAAGACCCACGTAAGCTACTAGTATTTGACCACAGATGCCTTAGAAATATTGCTGGCGTCTGCTGGGATCACCGGGTAAGTAACAATGAGGTTAGACGCAGGGTATTAGGGAATGATGGTAAATCAGTTGATGAGGTTGTGAATCTTCATCGACTGAGATGGTTGGGCCACGTATTACGTATGCCCGAACACCGACTACCACGACGTGCTCTGCTAACCGGCGTTCAGGATGGTTGGAAGAAAGTTAGGGGCGGCCAAACCAAAACGTGGCATTAGTGCTTGAAGACATTAACCTCTAGTCTGAGCCATGTTGGTAGATGCAGACTACTTGGTTGGAGTCCGCGTGACTGTCGTAACCAATGGTTGGAGACTCTTGGTGACATGGCTCAGAATCTATCACAATGGCGTCGGTGTATACACTCTCTATCTTCCCTTAAACTAAGAGATTAAATTTGCTTCATATCTTTCTTTCTACGAACTGATTCTTTATCCCTGTACTATATCCTTATTGCAGTCTTTCTTTTATATATTACCACCTCTGAATTAACTACTACTATGAATCCGGTGTCCATCTTGTTGTGTTAATGAGGTATGGCAAGTTGGAAGGATGCATAAATGTGCCTGGTCCTACGTTGTAGCTGACTGACATCGATATTAAGACTTTTTAAAGATATAGCCAACCCTATCTGTTGTCAGATCTGCAGTATTGTGCGGACGTTGAAGGAGGCCAATTTGAATCAGTCGGTCAGGTACAACGTAGGATCAGGCATATATATTGATTGGTCCGGGTTGCCACGCCTCATTAGCACAAGATGAACACCAAATTCATAGTAGTTAATTCAATGGTAGTAATATTTAAAAAAAGAGTGTATATAATGATATGATACAGGCAGAAAGAATTAGTTCGTAGAAAAAAGGTATAAAACAATTTTAATCTCACGGTTTAAGGGAAGACACAGAGTGTATACACCGACGGCATTGTGATCGACTCCGATCCATGTCACCCAGAGTTTCTAAATACTGGTTATGATAGTCGCGCGGACGGATATCTCGCCTTCGCCATAGGTGACGTAAGTTGGCAAAAGCCAAACGAGCTTTCTGAATCCGTGCTGAGATTTCGTCAGACATCAACCCATTAGGGCTGATCAGACTTCCAAGATAAGTTAAGTTGTCAACACGTTCGACTACTTCACTCCCTATCCGATCAGTTTGAATGGTGTACGTGGTTTCAGTATTCGTATTCGGTGGCAGCATTCAACTTTCGACCAGTCAGTGACTCGAGATTGTTAAGATAGGACAGGGTTTCTACCATAGGCCGACTGCTATATAAGTTAAAAAATATGAATACACAAAGTGAGAATGTAAAAGAGTAGATAAGTGACGTAGTATACAAAAAATATAAATGAATGTTATTGAAGCAAGAATAATATTTTCTATATTAATCATCATCCGATTTGTGTGTGGGTTGTGATACTACCCGGGTGCCCAAACCGAAACAGGTGGTTTCCTTAGGAGGTCATACCCTGAGCCTTTAACGTAGAGGTTTAATTCATAAGGCAGTGGAGCAACGTCCGGAGACGTAATCCCATGGTAGAGGTATCCACCAACCCGGTTAAAGCGCCGGACAATCACTTATCGTCCTCTCAATTGCGTAAACAACACACCTGCCATGAGAATTTACCTGGCAGTGGTTGTATACGCGTGGCCATGTGACAGTATTTCGAGAGAGAGAGAGAGAGAGAGAGAGAACTCTACCCACCCTCGGTCGTACTAGGGGAATCGGGGAATATATTCTTTATGTAACCAAAAATAATAATGAGATAATATATATGAAAATAAAAGAAATGAAATATATTTTATCACACAGTATATAGCACATCAATATAAGCTAAAACTCGAAATACTCATTAAAGAAATAGGATCAGGTTTAGTTTCATACTTTAAGGTCACATTCGACAATAGTACCGTTCTGTCCTCCAATATAAGCCACATTTGTAACCGGGTTTATAGCCATATCAATCACAGCAGTAGCGCAGCCACCAAAAGCATGAAATTCACCTATTTTAATATTACCCTTATCGGATAATGCGCACGTAGATTTGGATTCCGATTTCAAAAGAGGGTAACTCGTGTCAGTTTCAACTTTAGCTCTAAAAGGAAATGAAATTTTCTTGTCATTACACGCTTTTTCATGACTACCGTCATCATCATCATCTGATGATGATGATGACGTCGAACAGGAAGAGGAGATATATGATTTATTCACTTGTTTTGGAGGTGAAATGCGAAGAACAGGGGGTTCGAGTAGTAAGCTTTGAGGGCCGGTAGTTTTAGATGAATCGGATGTGATAGTGTGACTTTTTTCACTTGAATCTATTGATTGCTCTTTAATCTTTGCTGTTGGGTAAATGACTGGCTCACCTTTTATTGGTGGAGATGTGATTTTATCTAAAATAAAGGATGAAAAGCAAACATTTTGTTCAGGTCTTTGGGAGAGAGCAAATACACAGAAAGGATTCTTAGTATAATAATAAAGGTATTAGGAATAATTAGTATACCTTCGACTGTCATTGGTAAGTCTTCAGTAGGTCTTGTTTGGAATGGGTGTCCTAACGATCCAACATTTTGATTAACTGCTTTAGTGGAAGCCTTAGCTGCTGCTTGCTTTAACATTTGATCAACTTCATCAAAAGTGAACTGCCAGCTGTTTGGTGACTGAAGAGCTTGACGTATTAAAGCTAGACGCTCTAAATCAACACCATTAGAATTTGAACTGGTAGGTATTGGATTAAATGGATCAGATATTGTTTTTTGTGAAGCTGCAGAGGTATGATTTTGAGGAACACAGGAGGCTGTAGGAACGTTTGAAGTAGTTTCAGGAATTGATGGCGAGGATGTGAAAGCATTTTTAGACTGGTTTAATTCTAATTATTAAAAAGACAGATGAACAGATAGAAGTTTTCGTAACATCGGCATAAAAAAGAATAGATAGCAAACAGATCCCATTTTAACTACTCAATAAAACTCACAAACTTCTTATCTATGTAAAGTTCATACACTGACTCATGTTGCTCATATATTGCAAAATAGAAAACCAAAGCTCACCTGGTTGTTGATTGCTTGTTACATCGGACGATAAACTTGAAGGTATACCAATTTGCTGTTTATTTATTGCTTTTGGATTGGGCATAAAATGAGTAGGATGGGATGTTTCAACATCAGGTGTATCCAAAGGAGCTATAGAAGCAACAACTTTTACATGCGATTTTTGAATTGGTAAGGAGACATTTTGTCGTATATCCGTTGGCTCAGAACGAGAAGTGCTCGTGTGACTCTCAATATCAGAGTCCGAATGATTAAGTCCTAGTTTAACGAAAGATGAGAGAAACATTTACTAGAAAAAAAACTTAACTATGTGGCTATGTAAGTGATTGCAAAAGAAGATAAAAAATGAATACTTGATAAAATAATCACTAGGTGAATATGATTAAAATAAGACAATCGGGTAGGCATTATGGAATTTAAAATATGACTCAATTGTAAATACACGTCAATCTTATTGTTAGATTTATGAACTAATTGCATGAACAACATACAGCAAGACTGACAACGAATTAAGTAAAAGTTATGGGGAGAAGTTTGCTCAGAAGAAGCATCTGAACGTTAGTAGTTAACATGATAATATAAACTGATGATCGATAGCAAAAGTAATTTGAAACGCTTTACAAATACAAATACTATAATTTTCTTACAAAACACAAGCCATCCGCAACCATTATATTAATGGACACAACACTTATATCTGTAACACAGAAGATGGATTTTGCTTCTGACGTTATAATGTTGCAAACTTACACAATGTATCGATAACATTGATGTTATATCACAGACACTGAACAAAATGAGTGTGATAATTTAAGAACACCTTCATACAATCAAAGCATAGTTGATCAGAAAGAGTAACGTGATTTTTAAACTCAGGATTTAAGGGAAGATAGAGTGGACGTATCTAGGACATTTTGGCCGATTCTGAGCCATGTTACCCAAGGTCTGTAACCACCAGTTAAAATAAAAACGCGGACCCAACCAGTATTCTACATCGACCAACATGGCTCCGATAAGTGGTTTATGACTTCATGGATTTATACGACCTTTTACCTTTTGTTTTAATTGTCCCCTCAACCTACAACAGAAAACGTAAAACCAGAAAACTAGGGCGAGTAATAGGAAAGTAAGACAATCTGCACTAATATTTCATGCTGAGGGAAGTTTTATCATTTACACAACTGTTAGTTCCAACGAATTCATATCAAAAACCACCAGATCAAATCCACATTTGTCAATACTGTAATACGGAACTGTGATAGGTGGATGGAATATACAACAGAACAATTTGTGATAGATATAAATTTTTGTGATTAGGATACCGAACACCCGTTTCATTTAAGAATCAAACTTATTAAAGTTATATTATGAGCGACAAATAGTTCAGATGGTCATAATCTAAATAAAAGACATCAAGTGAACAAAGATAGAGAAATAACAACAGAGAGCGGTGGCTCAATGAGTAAAGCATTCGACTTTCAGATGCTAAGCCACAGGTTCGAACCCAGCTTGACCTAATTGGTATGGGCAAATAAATAGTATCGATAGACTTCACACTTAGAATATCCCGACCGAAGCTGATACCTTGACGCGGTGGTCGGGCTTGCCCATCGTGATGACCCAACCGAGCTATATTGGCTGGAACATATGTTCCTGTAGGTTCTACCATCCCAGGCATGTCGATTGGAGAACGCTAAGACTAAAAGCAGCAACTCAAGATTTGAGGGCGAAGTCATACTGCTGACTGTAGAGGGGTGTGACAGCAGTAAGGTGTTTCACTCGGACAACCAGCATCTGCAGCGATGCTGCTTTCTCACAAGGAAGGAAGGGATTGGAAATGGTCGACCCTAAAAATGTCACACCTCACCTTACCTCACGGATTTCCGTCTCCGGCGGTAAGGCCCCTTGAAGAACGGAGCTAACACGTCAAAAACCTTCCACAAAAAGGCCGTGCGCGACCGGCATCAAGCAGTTGTCCCTTGGGCTCTGCGGTCACGTTCCCAGGTCATCAAGACCAACACTAATCCAATTTCCTTTTCAGGTTCCTCAAGAAATACCCTTCCACGGTGTGGGCAGCCGGGAAGTGATATCGGCCCTCATACCCGTAACAACACACGAGACCAAGTTGGTCACATTCAAATCCTTCCTACACCTCCTAATACCTCTCTTATCTCCCCGACTAACCCTCCTCACGCCTCTTTATCATCAAGCACTGCTAGGGCAAACGATTCGAGTACGTGGAACGCTATTCCTGTTCTCCTGAAACCACGCTCTAAACTACACGTAGGAACTTTTAACGTCCGAACACTGTGCCAAATAGGACAGCAGGCTTCCTTAGCTAGGACATCAGAATCTCGGGCCATCGGAGTGTGCTGCGTCTCCGAAACGCGCATACAGGATCCGAGTAGCGTCATTCATTTGACCTCAGTATATCAAAATAAAGAACCAACTCAATTTACGCTTCGTGTATCTGGAAGCCCTGATTCTGATTCCCGTGGCCTCGCCGGCGTAGGCATAGCACTGAGTCCTAGGGCGGAACTACCTCTCTTAGAGTGGATCCCAGTAGACAGTCGTTTGTGCGCTGTCCGACTAAACGGAACAGTAAGGATCCGGAAAGATAGGGACACTCGTCGTTGCCTCTTCGTCGTCTCTGCCTATTCTCCCACAGACCGCAGCTCAAATGATGTAAAAGATGAGTTTTACAAAAAGCTTTCCGACCTTCTCCGAAAAGCTAGGCGCTCTGATGTAGTAATAGTGGCCGGTGACTTTAATGCTCAAGTAGGTAAACTAAGCGATAGGGAAAGACACCTAAGTGGATCTTATGGTGTCGTGGTTCAAAGAACAGATAATGGCGACCGTCTGTTGCAGCTATGCTCAGATAACCGCCTGTTCCTTGCAAATACAAACTTTAAGCATAAGGAAAAACATCTTTTAACATGGCGACCCCCTAATTCGTCCCAACGTTGGACCCAAATAGTCACATCGCTATCAGCCACCGATGGAGGGGCTCGATAGAAGACTGTCGCCCATTCTGGAGCACATGCTTAGATTCAGATCATGCTGTAGTACGAGCGCGTATTTGTCAGCATCTTACTGGACGTAGGAAAGACGCAGCAAGGAAACCTCTTAGGGTCCTACTTAATGATAGTCAAGCTAAGAGTATATTTCAGGCACAACTAGGAAAACAGTTAGGCAGTCATGTATGTGATGCCCACCCCGAGGCAGCATGGAACGTTATCCGAAAAGCTGTGGAAACAGCAGTGATATCTGCTAGTAAGGTAAACCAAAATGTTAGGGACCAGCACTGGATCTCAGCAGCATCTATCGCACTGATAGATGCTCGGAAACTCATTCCACCTGACTCTGAACATAACGAACAGCGGAGTCAGCTTAGGCGCAAGCTGACAAGAAGTCTACGCAATGATCGTGAACAGTGGTGGGTAGCGAAAGCAAGAGAGATGGAAAAGACAGAGGCAATAGATCAGATATTCACACTATGTCAGGTTCAAGAACACAGACACACATTCAGACGCCCCACAATGGTAGTATTTCTCGACCTTAAGGCTTTCTACTCGAACACAACTGATAGAGTGAGAGCTTATGGCGAACTGTCATCAGAATTGATTGCCTCAAGTGGTGTTCGTCAGGGCTGTCCACTCTCCCCATTCTTGTTCAACTTTGTCGTTGACGAACTTTCAGAGATAACACTTTCCTCATCTAAATTTCCAGGGGTTGAACTTCTACCGGGAGACCCACTTGTTGACCTAAAATATGCCGATGATATAGTTTTATTTGGTGAAGACGCTGACAAAATGCAGAGTCTTCTGACCACTCTAAGCAACAATGCAAGCATGTTCGGCATGCGATTCTCTCCCTCGAAATGCAAAATGTTGCTTCAGGATTGGGTTACATTGACACCTGAACTAGTGATAGGGAGTGAAGTAATTGAGTGTGTCGACCACTTCACTTATCTTCGAAGTCTCATCAGCCCTTGTGGTCTGGTGTGTGACGAAATCTCAGCACGGATACAGAAGGCTCAACTAGCTTTTGCCAACTTGCGTCATTTATGGCGTAGGTGAGATATCCGTCTATCAACCAAAGGACGTGTTTACTGCGCAGCAGTTCGTTCCGTCCTACTTTATGGCAGTGAAACATGGCCGGTAAGAGTAGAGGATATCCGTAGGTTACTAGTATTTAATCATAGGTGTCTTCGAAATATTGCTCGCATATCCTGGGACCATCGAGTAAGTAATGCAACTCGAACTGATGTACGTACGTACGAAGTTCTACGTTGTTACTGACTGACTGAAACTTAGAATATGGCTTGAAGTCAAGTACACAAATCTGTACTTGGTAAGAATGATAATAAAAAGCGTAAACAAATGTAGGTACAAGAAGATATCCATAACAAGGAAAAATATAAGTAGTACATGTGACAGATATAATCGATTCTTAATTGTCTTTCAACATAACTGACAATCTATTTCCTCCAACTCTATAGGCCGTCACGATTTAGTCTGAACTTAAAAAGACCTTATAAAAAAGTAGACAACTCCATCATATCACAAAGGTATAATGTAGTAAAATGATCGCTATTCACGAAAATGAATTATTGATTTAAGCCCCTGAATGACCAGAAATCAAAGACAAGATCACTAACTAGATGAATCGCCTTTCAATAAATAAAGTGAAGTGCTTATGTACAGAATAAACATGATAAACACCATAAGTTATTGGAGGTAAGTCACTCATTCACCATTTAATTAAGATCGGACTGTTAGGTCTAATCTTTGGGTATCGAATCAGATGCACTTTATTAAGATGATATATAAATTCATGGTACATCGTAGAAGGACTATGCACTAACTGATAAATAATACATTAATGATGTACTCTAACTAAAACGGCACCGTTATTGCTTTTGCTTGAGCAATTCTTAAAGAAGTGAGACAATCGATAAAAATAAGTATTACTAAGAAACTGTCATTTTGCTTGTTAAAGCATAAAAACGATTGGCTTATTCCACGGAACCAGATATGCGTTTCAATGAATTAGCAATATGTTCATCTTCAAAAAATAAATCCAAAACATACCTCGTAGTAGATTGGATCGTTCCTGTTTCAACTCACGCCTTTTAGCTTTGACCTAGATTAAAATATAAAACCTTGGATTAGGGGCAAGGAAATAGATATAAAAAACAATTGGAATATTGCCATATGTAGTTATTACCTGACAATCGCTCAAGGCCAGTGAACTTTGAATCACATTCAGATCATAAATTATTGCTGAACTTAGTAACACGACTTATTTTCCACAACACAATAGCCTTCTCGCCACATTGTTTTTTTCTACGATTTCATGTTCCATACCGAAACCGAGGATGAAATTAAAAAAGTAGAATCAGTCAGTCAGTAACAACGTAGAACTTCGTACGTACGTACATCAGTTCGAGTTGTCACACAACATTTGCACAGAAATGTAGTGGTCGATTCAAACCACGTACTAGTAGAGATAGTAAGAGTACAGACAGTAATCGGAAAGATTAGGGTTTGAATATGTTATTTAAAGAGTATAATCCAGTAAAAAAAAATTTGGAAAGAGGAAAAAAAGGGACATGAAGAATTCAAAAGATTAAAATTTGGGAGAACACAAAGAGTGGATGCACCTGCGCCATTGCAAATGATTTTGAGCCATGTCATTCAGGGTCTCTCACCATCGGTTGCTATCATCTCACGGTCCCCAACCAGGTAGTCTACACCTACCAATATGACTCAGTCCACTTGTCAGTGATTTCATGGACTTGTGCCATGTTTTGGTCTGGCCGCCCCTAGCTTTCTTCCAATCTACTCCTATACAACAAAACATCGCACATCGAGGCAGTCGGTGTTTGGGCATACGCAACACGTGTCCCAGCCATCTCAACTGATGAAGTTTCACTACGTCATCAATTGATTTGCCATCCTCACCTAGTACCCGTTTCCTAACAACTGCATTACTTACTCGATGGTCCCAGGATATGCGAGCAATATTTCGAAGACACCTATGATTAAATACTAGTAACCTACGGATATCCTCTACTCTTACCGGCCATGTTTCACTGCCATAAAGTAGGACGGAACGAACTGCTGCGCAGTAAACACGTCCTTTGGTTGATAGACGGATATCTCACCTACGCCATAAATGACGCAAGTTGGCAAAAGCTAGTTGAGCCTTCTGTATCCGTGCTGAGATTTCGTCACACACCAGACCACAAGGGCTGATCAGACTTCCAAGGTAAGTGAAGTGGTCGACACACTCAATTACTTCACTCCTTATCACTAGTTCAGGTGTCGATGTAACCCAATCCTGAAGCAACATTTTGCATTTCGAGGGAGAGAATCGCATGCCGAACATGCTTGCATTGTTGCTTAGAGTGGTCAGAAGACTCTGCATTTTGTCAGCGTCTTCACCAAATAAAACTATATCATCGGCATATTTTAGGTCAACAAGTGGGTCTCCCGGTAGAAGTTCAACCCCTGGAAATTTAGATGAGGAAAGTGTTATCTCTGAAAGTTCGTCAACGACAAAGTTGAACAAGAATGGGGAGAGTGGACAGCCCTGACGAACACCACTTGAGGCAATCAATTCTGATGACAGTTCGCCATAAGCTCTCACTCTATCAGTTGTGTTCGAGTAGAAAGCCTTAAGGTCGAGAAATACTACCATTGTGGGGCGTCTGAATGTGTGTCTGTGTTCTTGAACCTGACATAGTGTGAATATCTGATCTATACAACCACGTCCAGGTCGAAAACCAGCCTGATTTTCTCTAGTCTGTTCTTCACGAGCTTTGGTTAGGCGTCGAAGTATTATTGAAGCTAACATTTTAGACACTATATCAGTCAAACTGGTTCCTCTATGATTGTCACAAGAGGACTTTTGTCCTTTCTTATAGACTGACACAATCAGTGATTGAAACCAGTCAGATGGGATTACGTCCAGTTCCCAAATTCTACCTAAGACCTCAGTCAATCTCACTGCTAATACTGGACCACCATCCTAAAAAATTTCAGGAATAGAAGCGTTACAAAAATTAAGTTGTGATGAAACCAATTTAGTGTTAAATCAAAATGAAATGAATATAACATAGGGTTTTACAAAACCTTCGTACATGACAATTAGTGGTCTTTTCATCTGATATCTTGATTAAAGTCAAGATTAGACCATCTTTATATGGGAAAAAATATAATTGACTCAGTAATATCGTCCTTTTTTAATAACTTTAATAAAATACCATTATATATAGCGATCAATAAACGTATGAACATAGAGCTAAACAACAACTTTGATATTACGGGCTGAACCTAGTAAAAGTTACGTTCAAGTTTATCTATTTATTTTCAATTCAAATATAAGCGACGGATTTTTTAGCAGTTATAATTTATAAACAAGTACAATTTTAAATGTTCAGAAGAAACCACGGAAATACTGAAGAGCGATAAATTTATTTAGGTGTGAAATGAAAAAAACATCTCGCATTTATAGTTAGCCTTTCCATAATATAGATAGCCAGTAAACTTTGACCAGAAAATCTCTCCCTAAGAGGATACAATTGAAGTGTGAAAGTAGTTAGATACTAATTTTGAGAAATTCCAAAATATCCTCATATTAAAAGTATTATACACTCGCGTCGTGAAAAATAATAAAACTGAGCGACCAGATAAAAGAGTCTGAGTTCCTCAAAGTACTTTTATCATCTGAATTAAACTCTGAAGATAATAATACTAAATGAAGCGTTGATGTGTTCTGTTTACCTAAAAGCATTTAGAGGAAGAAATATCACATAAGGGAGATAGTTTGTGTGACAATACCTCTGTTGAATTTAATTTTAAGATCCTGTTCACAGTAGAACCGATTACAATTCAGATTTCATTTCTGTGAAGTTTTAAATTCGAGACTCCAACTGCTGAAACAATGGCAATAGGTATTTTATAGTGCAATAGTAGGAGACAGTTGTCCTGTTTTACTACGGAAAAATTAGACAGTTTACACATTATCTGTAAAATAACACAAAAAACACGATTGTACAGAAGCAAATGATCTGGAGCCAGAATGAGATACAAACTGTAGCTAAGATACAAAATAAAAAACTTTTGTAAGATATATGCAACTGACACTCACCAAATTTAACTCAGTTTCAACAGTCTGTAATTTTTCCTCCAGTTCATCTTGTTTGATTTTAAGTGATTGAAGTTCTTGAGAAATTAATAAGGCTTTCTCCATACACTGGAGTTCTCCACATTTCTTTGTGTTTTCGCTTACAGGCTGAATTGTAATTGGTTTTGGAGAAGTTGATGGGCACGTAACTATTTTAGGGTAAACAGGAGAATAATTCTCCCGTTCAGATTTCTTTTTTTTAGGATCACAACGGTTTGAACTAGTAGATTTACTTACTTTACAACGTAGCTCATTAGTTAACCGCTTTGATACACTTTGATGTTTACCTTTAGAGTTAATAATGGTTATCTTTTGAATTTGCTTCTCTTGCTTACGTGTATTTACTGAATCTTTATCAATAGTTTCTAACTGAAACGAGAAAACAGATATGACAAAAATGACCTAAACACAACAAGAATTCAACTTGAATCAGAAATTGTCATTACTCTGTTATAAATATACGCAACGGAAATTATGAGTGCAGTTGCCACTTAACAATTACACTAAGGAAATTACTTACAATGTTTAGCATCATCCCACCTTCATGACCAGAAGTATTTGAAATTCTTGGTTTCTTAGATAACTGAGTGAAAGAAATATTTCGATTACACTTGTTATGTGATGATTGGAAGGTATCAGATGAACGTTTCCCATTGCGTGTACGAAGACCATTGCTGACTGCGTCAGATTTCTGACCTGATTAAAGGAAAAGTATCGTAGAAATTTAGAAAATTACAGTTTTAAAGAATTAGATCTTAAAATAGATCTGCAATTGGTTATAATCAAAGTACAATATAGCAAAAATGTTCCTACTGAAGGTCAGGATTTAGGGAAAGAAATTGAATGCTTCGGTTCCACTGAAATCGATTCTGACTAACATCAACTAACATGTGACAGTTCTATATAGTGATGGGAAATAAACTACTTCACGATAAAAGTTAAAATTTGCAGGTGTGTATTTGTACTCATTCTTTTTGAATTATGACTTGTGTGGAAATAGTGACATTTGAGGCTCTTAAAACGTAGTATGCACTTCGCCAAGGAGATCGTGCTTAGAGCCATCAACCTAAAATCAGAATCGACAAGATGATAGACCTACATCAGATATACCCCTTTTTGAACTAATTCACCATGTACTTAGATCTGAGTCACGCTTCCCGCATGAAAGCTAATGATACTACTCGGTTGCCTAAATTGAAGTAGGTGGGGCCAATTTTTAACCTGGAACATACTGACTGAAGGTTAAGCACACTTACAATTTTTATTTATCTAAACACATAAACATTGTTACAAGGAGGCATCAAATACATGCACCACATAAACCATTCGATTTGTGTGACTGCTGGAATACTGCCGGGATACCCAAACCGAGACAGGTGGTTTTCTTAAGAGGCCACACCCCGAGCCTTTAACCAAGAGGTCTAATTCACAAGGCAGTGGGGTAACTTTAGAAGATGTAGTCTCATAGTACCGGATGACCAACAATAGTTTGATATCCTTTTTGTCCCCTCAGGATCCCGGAGCCCATGTACACCAATGGTTTGTAAACAGGGTTTTCCGACTCCGCTAAGTGAATCCACCGAAACTCATAACCATTTCTCTCCGCAGTGACCAGAGAACTGAATGGGTTTCATACCACTTGTATCTCTAGCATCCTGGAACCAAAGATGATAGCAGTTGACGAAACTGAGGCGCCTATATGTAACCCAGTTCATAGGCGTCTACTTCACTGCATGATACTCAATAGAGTAGGGGTAGGTTAGAAGAGAATTGGGTGATGCTAAATCAGTACTATATTAGTCCACAAAGCCACTGACTGGTGGTACCAACCGTGAATCCTCGGGCAGAACTAGCTTTCTTAGAGTGGATCCCAGTAGACAGTCGTTTGTGCGCTGTCCGACTAAACGGAACAGTAAGGATCCGGAAAGATAGGGACACTCGTCGTTGCCTCTTCGTCGTCTCTGCCTATTCTCCCACAGACCGCAGCTCAAATGATGTAAAAGATGAGTTTTACAAAAAGCTTTCCGACCTTCTCCGAAAAGCTAGGCGCTCTGATGTAATAATAGTGGCCGGTGACTTTAATGCTCAAGTAGGTAAACTAAGCGATAGGGAAAGACACCTAAGTGGATCTTATGGTGTCGTGGTTCAAAGAACAGATAATGGCGACCGTCTGTTGCAGCTATGCTCAGATAACCGCCTGTTCCTTGCAAATACAAACTTTAAACATAAGGAAAAACATCTTTTAACATGGCGACCCCCTAATTCGTCCCAACGTTGGACCCAAATAGTCACATCGCTATCAGCCACCGATGGAGGGGCTCGATAGAAGACTGTCGCCCATTCTGGAGCACATGCTTAGATTCAGATCATACTGTAGTACGAGCGCGTATTTGTCAGCATCTTACTGGACGTAGGAAAGACGCAGCAAGGAAACCTCTTAGGGTCCTACTTAATGATAGTCAAGCTAAGAGTATATTTCAGGCACAACTAGGAAAACAGTTAGGCAGTCATGTATGTGATGCCCACCCCGAGGCAGCATGGAACGTTATCCGAAAAGCTGTGGAAACAGCAGTGATATCTGCTAGTAAGGTAAACCAAAATGTTAGGCACCAGCACTGGATCTCAGCAGCATCTATCGCACTGATAGATGCTCGGAAACTCATTCCACCTGACTCTGAACATAACGAACAGCGGAGTCAGCTTAGGCGCAAGCTGACAAGAAGTCTACGCAATGATCGTGAACAGTGGTGGGTAGCGAAAGCAAGAGAGATGGAAAAGACAGAGGCAATAGATCAGATAGTCACACTATGTCAGGTTCAAGAACACAGACACACATTCAGACGCCCCACAATCGCAGTATTTCTCGACCTTAAGGCTCTCTACTCGAACACAACTGGTAGAGTGAGAGCTTATGGCGAACTGTCATCAGAATTGATTGCCTCAAGTAGTGTTCGTCAGGGCTGTCCACTCTCCCCATTCTTGTTCAACTTTGTCGTTGACGAACTTTCAGAGATAACACTTTCCTCATCTAAATTTCCAGGGGTTGAACTTCTACCGGGAGACCCACTTGTTGACCTAAAATATGCCGATGATATAGTTTTATTTGGTGAAGACGCTGACAAAATGTAGAGTCTTCTGACCACTCTAAGCAACAATGCAAGCATGTTCGGCATGCGATTCTCTCCCTCGAAATGCAAAATGTTGCTTCAGGATTGGGTTAGATCGACACCTGAACTAGTGATAGGGAGTGAAGTAATTGAGTGTGTCGACCACTTCACTTATCTTGGAAGTCTGATCAGCCCTTGTGGTCTGGTGTGTGACGAAATCTCAGCACGGATACAGAAGGCTCAACTAGCTTTTGCCAACTTGCGTCATTTATGGCGTAGGTGAGATATCCGTCTATCAACCAAAGGACGTGTTCACTGCGCAGCAGTTCGTTCCGTCCTACTTTATGGCAGTGAAACATGGCCGGTAAGAGTAGAGGATATCCGTAGGTTACTAGTATTTAATCATAGGTGTCTTCGAAATATTGCTCGCATATCCTGGGACCATCGAGTAAGTAATGCAGTTGTTAGGAAACGGGTACTAGGTGAGGATGGCAAATCAATTGATGACGTAGTGAAACTTCATCAGTTGAGATGGCTGGGACACGTGTTGCGTATGCCCAAACACCGACTGCCTCGATGTGCGATGTTTTGTTGTATAGGAGTAGATTGGAAGAAAGCTAGGGGCGGCCAGACCAAAACATGGCACAAGTCCATGAAATCACTGACAAGTGGACTGAGTCATATTGGTAGGTGTAGACTACCTGGTTGGGGACCGTGAGATGATAGCAACCGATGGTGAGAGACCCTGAATGACATGGCTCAAAATCATTTGCAATGGCGCAGGTGCATCCACTCTTTGTGTTCTCCCAAATTTTAATCTTTTGAATTCTTCATGTCCCTTTTTTTTCTCCTTCCAACTTTGTTTCGCTGGATTATACTCCTTGAATAACATCTTCAAACTCTAATTTTTCTGATTACGGCTTATAATTTTACTACATCTAGCCCTACGGGATTCGAATCGACCACTGCATCTCTGTGCAAATGTGGTGTGACAACTCGAACTGATGTACGTACGTACGAAGTCCTACGTTGTTACTGACTGACTGACTGACGAACCGTTTTGGGACTGGGATGATAATCCTAGCCAAATGGTTGGAGGACTGGTGTTGGAATGGAAATATAATCATTTTTATCATTTATATCGAGGTGCGATATTATTTCCAACTTTTGTTGCGCAAACACCGGGCCTGTATTTGAGTGATATTCTATATGCTTGGTCGTTTCTGTTATTACTGATACAACCATTATTCCGACTGCTTTAGTATTCATGTCGATTTTATTTCGCTATGGCGATATGGTGTCCCAACTTATTTCGATGCACATCTGTGCAAAGAATTGTATTGGATGCCCCTGAATGCCCTGGTACGGTCGGGGGTGGGGAGAGTCCGCTCGCCCTCTCGAAATGCTTTCACATGGCCACGCGTATACACCCACTGCCAGAATAGTCCTACTTACTCCCTTCTCATGGCGGGTGTTGTTTACGCAATTGAGAGAACGAAAAGTGAATGTCCGGTGCTTTAATTGGAATCGTGGATACAAAGGATCCACCTAGAGAACTTATAAAACCCTGATTCCAAACCAGTCGTGTACATGGGCTTCAGGATCCTAAGAGAACAAATGGCGTATGAACCAATCGTTGGCCACCGGTAACCATGGGACTGCATCTTCCGACGTTGCTCCACGGCCTTGTGGATCAGACCCATCGGTCGAAGACTTCGGGAGTGGCCCCCTAGGAAAACCACCCGCTTCGGTCTGGGCACCCTGGCAGTATTATAGCCTAAATACAAATGACTTGTGTGGCCCATATGTATTCTGTTCCCCTTTGTACCAATATTTATTCGTTAAAATAAATAAATTGTATTTGATAGGGTTAAATAAGTACAGCTTTGTTCATTTCCGGTATAAGATCAAGGTTTAACGACCTGTCAAGTTGGATAATCTAAAATTACCCAACATAGATGCTAAATATCTATTCTTACCACCTGGCCTCTATGGAAAAGCCGATTTGGATGCAATAAGTACAAATGTACCATGGTATTTTTGGATAAAGCGACTGCGAGACCCTTGGTAGAAATATGGCATAACGGAAAATTTTGTTATCATTTCTAAACATGAGGTATAAACATTACGAAACGTTAAGCAATTATATAATAAAGGTAAAATTAACTAACATAAACAAACCTACATGTTTTAGGTTCGCGGCCAGACTGAAGTGGTTCTTGTAACAACACAGTCTGGGGGCTATAAAATAGCATACAAGCAGTATCAATTAGATAGTCAAAACAAGTTAATTTAAATCTGAGTACATTGATATAGATAACAATGATGCTCAATCGTAAAGAAAACGCGAATTTAAAATTCATTGAATATTGTTGCAGAATTCCAAACGGCAATCACAAGCGGTTTCGAAGTCGTCGGTTACAAAATAGCTACTAACATTCTAGTTCCCTTTACTCACGATATATAAGTCAATTTTGATATTCTTGACCACTGGAAAATGATATTCGAAGTTACTGTGAAGGGGTGTCATTGCTTTTATTATGGCTGGAATAATATAGGTCTTCTAAGTATCTGCTCTCACGTAACAAACGACACTCCAACCCCAAATTTGTAGTATATCCCAGACAACTCATGTAACAGCAACTTCTATCGGGCAAAATCTTTTCAGCCAGGATGGCGCCTAGAACATTATCGTTACAAATAACAGCAATATTTACTGAACCTCATGAGAACATTTTCATGTGAAGCTCAACAAGGCTCAATTCCTGAAGATACACTGTTTATAATTCTAGTAACTGGTCATGTGATTTATTGATGATTGACCCAGTGGCTATGCAAAATACTATCGTAATCATGATATTTGTTGTATGCTCCTAATACTAAGCCACAATCACTCACACTACAGCAAAGTCCCTCTAAACGCCAGTCTCTGTGAGTGAATTTTTCACTACAGTGAGGACATATCTCATATGAGTAGTGGGTACTATATAAATAAAGTCCGCAAAATTCCATTCATCGGTAACTACATACCCACTCTTTAAAAGATTATTCGTAAAAGCACACCGTAACTACCCACGAATTCCCTCAAAAACTGAATTCTAAAAAACAACGACAATTAAATAAAGAGAACTATTGGTGCTTGATAAAGAGTAGAACTCACTCAATTCCATAAAATTCATAGAAAGACTTCAAATTCATTTGATGACGAGAGCTCTTAGTGTGGTTGATCCAGCACTTTAGGCCCTGTATGTTTCCACAATGGCATATAGAACAAAAGTGAGACCTAAACTTATATAAGACTAAATCTATACTAACGTACGGTTGCCGTCCATAATTGAATTCATTTTCCTCAAACTTTTTGTGGTGTTTTTCACTAATATCATGTTCATAACTTTCCTGTTAAATATTAGTATCGACCAGAATAATTTTTGTATACCTGTTCTGTTTTAAACGAAATACCGCAAAGCTCACAGACGTACATAACTAGTACCGAGCAGTTTCAAAGCCCCGCTTGTCATATTTGGAACCGAAACTTGTCTGGAAAATTATCACTTCTTGTGAATGATTTTGAACGGAATTGGTCAGTAGAAATATTTGAATGTACTTTTAGTTATGATGTTCAGGTTTACGAGTTATCTTTTTCTGACAAAAATTAGAGAGCCAGTTGGAGCTCAACCTCAAATGAGAGATGATAAGAGTTATAAACACAGCTACGTACTACGTCTCAGCTGAAACACATCGCATAACAAAAAAGTGGAAAGCATCACTTGTTGGAACAAAGGCCAAAAAGTAACTTGATGTCTGAATACAATTGTTTCTAAATTCCTGAACCACCACATAAGTTCACAAAATAAATAGTTTGGGAACTCATCGACTCAGATGCTGACTATATTAGTTTTATGGAATAAACCTAAGCTAAAGTCTCCCAATCACCAAGTAAAAGCCTCACAGGACACGAAACAAAACCATAGATTCCTGTAATATTTTTACTCTTTTTCTTAATCTTCATCACGGTTGCAGAGAATTCAATACTCCCCAAAGAAGTAAGTCATAAAAAATAACTGCTTCTAGACCACAGGAAGCAAGTAAACTCAATTAGCGCTCTTTCCAAGCACACCATGATGGATCGCTTAGAAGTAGCAGGGAACCATGTATTTCTGAACTTCGAACCATGCATTCCAACAAACCTTCATGAATATTCCCCTGCTGCCATGCGATAATGGCAAACACACTCGGTAGATATAGCCGTCTAATATAAATTACTGACATGATTGTGAACGGTCATCGTTTTATCTACATCGGCGCAGGAGTAAGCGTCCTTCCCGCGAATACCAATGATTGTATAAAATCCAACCTTCAATTCACTGGTGAAAAACGAGAAACCGATAGCCGCTTACGGTAAAAGGTGTGGTTACCTTAATGTGGAGTTATACAGATATATTCGCTGGTTTTTGTTGTTGCAGACGTTGCCATGCCACTAATCGGTATAAATCATCCACAACACTTCAACCTGTTCATCGATCCAAGCAAACAGGTTGAAAGATGACAATACAAAATAACTTATATTGAACTTCACTTTCTATTCTTAGGTTATGCTCACTCACGATTAAACTTATAACCGATTCATGCATCCGCCCGATACTCGACAATGGCCGTGAAATTTAGAAACCACAACCGTATACCCATGTGCCATGACCAGCGTTACACATCAATTTGGGATCACAGAAGCACCTGCATGCTCGAAAGCGTGCCTACTAGCTCAGGAAAAGCACATATTACCCGAAAAAGAATTCCACCATATGACAGACGTAGGAATTATCCGGACATCTAGCAGCCCACCGGTATCTACATTGCACATGCAGCCCAAAAAGCAGCAAAATAGTAGTTCAACGGTTATTACAGATGACCCAATATGAGAACTGCACCTAATCGTAATCTCTGATCAAACATCCACGACCTGAGAGCCATGCAGAAAGGTAAGGCTGTCTTTCCGGAATTCAATTTGGTTGAAGTGTGCAACCGAGTTCTTGTGGTCGCAAATGAGTTTCTCAACATGTCTATCTCCACTCCCTTTGAACCCTACGAATTTTTGCGTATGTTTTTGGCTTGATAGATTCTGCCCAAACATTTAAAAAGTCTGATGACTATTCATTAATAGGTCACAACTTTGTGCATCCTTATGTTGGTGGTATTTGTTTGCAAGTCTAGACAATAAATCCCATCCTCAGCATCTTGACCTTGTTGTTCGACGGCTCCGAAAACGCGGCACTAATGTAAACATTCAGAAATGTCGAATACGGACTAGCTCTTTCAACTTTCTCGGCATTACTGTTGATGCTCAAGTTACTCGCCCTCTGTAAAATAAAATGACAGTTGTTTCGGGATATTGAGAAGCGATCACATTCAGTCAATTACGCACATTTAACGGCCAAGTAAGTTCTGGCTTACGATTCGTACCAAATCGCGCGACTCTCATGAGCTGTTTATGACATACAGTTATTTGGCGAATGCATAGTCAGTCAATCCGAAACGTTAATTTTGTGTAACACATTTTGCGAGAGACCCGCCCATAATACATATAACATGTTTCTAGGTGAAATAATTATCAATAATTCTGACATCAGAAGGTTCAAAAAATTCTCCGTAACGTTCTTATTAATGGAGTAGTATTTATCATCTCAATAAAGAACTCTCTAGGGCTCTTCTTTTGCAGCTTACAGAGGTCAGTGTAATGAATTGCGTCGCACAAAAGTGTGTGTGATACCTTGTAGGTTAGGTTGGATGAAATTTCACCTGACTGTGGTCAAGTAAAAACAGGTATACTTGAACGGATAGCGTTCGTAAGCTTTTTTGCTCAGTTTTAATTCACATTCATTGAAGATGGTTAATAATTCACGAATTCGCCTGGAAATCGAAAAGCTTTGCACTGAAAAAGGTCAACTGCATCAAATACGACGTCAACTATACTGAACGGAAGATTCCAAGTAACAATAGTGAAAGGATACCAGTACAAGGGACTACATTTAAATTTTAATGTGAAAGTTCTCAAAATGTCGATGAAATCGTTCCACCGATCTGCAAACTTGTGGTAGGTAGACGTTTGTTTGGGATCCTATTGTTTCTAGTGGTCTATCATGACAACGGAAAAGCACAGAACTTAACTGACATCCAAGCTCGGTAAATTGGTAGAAAGTGAACTAGAGTTTGCTGGGCATTGCTTGACGACGTCGCGACCGACCAATTCAGCAGTAGTTCATTTGATGACAACTGTTACTGGCTATCAACAGAGTGAAAACATCCATTTGAATCCTATCGAAACAAGACGAACATCATTGGGAAGAGCGTCCTCAGTGGAAACAAACTATGATGGAAATCAATCGTGTTACTGGAGACGTTTGGCTGATTAAAAACGTTTTATTGCATATGAATAATTTTACTGTGTTTTTTGGATGTATTTGTTTCACTCAACTTTTGAACTTGTTGGTTTATATCGTTATCTTCGAACATTTTGGTTTATTTTGTCTTTGGTTTGTTATTTGGGAGTTTTTGCTCCGAGAACCTACAAAGTTGAAGCATTGTGTTTGTAGTTGTTATGATTGATGATGTCACAGGTATTCAGTGTTTGACAACGCTTCTACCAGTAACACCTTCTAATATATTTCGTTCCCGCCCAGAGAAATCAAAAGACAGAGTCGAGGAGATCGGAAGAGTATATTTGGTGATGACCAATATATCGGGATTCTCTGATCTAATCTGGCTAGCGATTGCGGTTGATGTTGAGCACGGCGTTACCACACGTGATCTGGTGCGGATGCCTGACCGAGCGCCTTCAGCTAGATGAGTCCACTAAAACATATGGTCAGCATCCAATGTCGAAAACTTAGTGCTATTTATTTTGGGGATTTATTTACCACTACAGATCACTCCCCCCCCCTAGTGAGGCAGTGACGACCCTAAGACGTGGCCAGCCAGAAGTTTAAACCCAACGAGTTTGTCGTTGGTAAACACTCTTCTGATAGCTTACTAAGTGTAGCAGCGTCTGGTCGTCTTTCCTTACTATATGGGACCGAGGTACAACATAGTAAAAAAAGGAAAAGTTACAACGAAAAATTTCGATTCCTCGTAAACTGCATCGTTCTTTTCCAGCCGTCCTGGAAAAGAAGAAAGAAAGTGTAAGTGCATGTCGAAACACACTCGTATGTGCGTAAAAACAATGTCGGCGGAAAAAATATGGAAAATAAACTCATGAACACGTAATAGCGTTAAAAAATTGTTTTTTTCTGTTTTGTTTTTTTTTAAATAGAAATAAAAATATATAAGCATATTAAGATTTTTTTTTTTAAAAAAAAATAATATGAAATTTCGAGAAGTGCCTTACGTACAATAGTCGTTTAAATGTTCTGGAAATCTCACCCTTCTTCCAGAACGCGTCGTTTTAGGTTTATTTTCAGATACATGCGGAGTATCATCGCTAGTATTGGTTGTCGGTTGAGGAATCACGAGTGGAGTCGTGTCGTTCGATTGTAACGAAGGAAAATCGACGTAGATATGATTTCCTTCCAAGTACGCTGCTTTGAGGCGATCGATGCTGATGCTATCGTTGGTTCCGTTCTTATCGACTATATAGTACTTCGGTTCGCGTTGAAGAACTTTGAAGGGTCCTTCGTATGCTGATTCGAATGGTCGTCGATGCGAGTCTCGACGAACGAAAATGTGTGTACTGTATCGTAAGTCAGGTTGAACGAAAACATCAGTTGATTGAGGTCGAGTGGAAGCAGGTTTAACTGAACGCATTGCGTTTGTAAGCCTGTTCGTGTAGGAGGTTAGATCCATGTTCATTGAAGAGGACGAAGGATCCACGAATTCTCCTGGACGTCGAAGTGTTGTTCCATAAACGAGTTGAGCTGCAGTGTATCCAATGTCAGCTTTCACTGCATTGCGGATACCTAGCAAGACGAGTGGAAGAGCGTCAGTCCACTGTGAAACGTTTGCAGCTGATAGTGAAGCTTTCAGTTGTCGGTGAAAACGTTCTACCAACCCGTTTGCTTGTGGATGGTAGGCGGTCGTTCGGAAGTGCGTGATTCCTAAAAGTGTGGTCAGACGACGGAAAAGATCGGATTCAAACTGGCGTCCGCGGTCTGTAGTGATGGTTGAAGGGCAACCGAAGTTTGCTACCCATCGTTCGACGAAGGTGCGAGCCACTGTTTCAGCAGTGATGTCCTTGATAGGTACTGCTTCTGGCCATCGAGTGAAACGGTCTTCGCAAGTTAAGAGATAAGACTATCCATTTGAATCTGGTAACGGTCCTACCAAATCCAGATGAACATGGTCGAAACGAGCATCGGGAGTTTTAAATGAGCCTAAGGGACATTTATTGTGTCTGATAACCTTAAATTTTTGGCAACTTACACAGGAGCGTGCCCACTCCCTCGCGTCTTTATTCATGCCAGGCCAGCAAAATCGTTCTGCTATAAGCTTGATGGTTACACGAACACCTGGATGAGAAAGTTTGTGCAACATAT